CCAGCACCACAATATGACTTATGGCTAGTGTAACCCGTACACGGAGTAATTCTTGGAACTCACCGCATACTGCTCGCCATGGTACATGGACTGTTACTGTCTACACAGTGTGTAGGCTACTAAAGTTACTCGTCACAGCACACAGACTCCCTGCAGTAAGTTACACACAGCAACACTGGCTACACACCTTGTAACTTACTGAATGTTAGGTTAATGTTACACAATGTGGCAAACACCAGCCTGCTAACAATACATTACATTCATAGCACCATTTCCAAGAAAATAATAAAGTACTGGGTACCAGTACATGTAACCTGCTCATAATGAACAGAATCACTCACTTAGCAGTATCAAGGTAACATCAGTTGCAACTCAGTCCAATCTCCTCCTTCAGGGCTCTCCATCGAGGGAAAGTGACACTGATGCAAATACGTGCTAGTCTTCCCCGTTTGTCACGCTCTCTCTTCGCCAACAGACCTACCGCAGAATGAGAAGACTTTTTCTTTTTCGTAGAATCCACTTCTGAACCTCTTGGTCACTTCATTGTGTTCTCCGCCATGTTACTTCTAGCAGTGCTCTTCTCCCCCCTCCCTTCTCGTTGTCAGGTAAAACCGAGTAGAATGCGTAATTTCCTGTGCGCCAAATACAAAAAGAACAAATACTAAAAAATACCTTAAGTTGTTGGAGGAGCAGAACAGCCTAATCAACGTTGTATCATCTCCTCTTGTAGTGGCTTGGGTGAAACAAGACACATAGAAGTTACACACTATAGCTTTAATTATGATTGATTAATAATTCAAAACACTTTTAATAATTTAAAAGACTATATTATACCCCTACACAGCTGGTTATACTGGTTATAAAAGCTGTGATCTCTGATTATTGAAAACTTGAGAGAACAAGAAAGAGGGGGATCTGTGAAGCTGTGCTCTAATGCTTGGCTGCTCATGTTCAGAGTTATTGCTGTGAACAAAGCAGGATCACCAGATTAGAGGACAGTTGATGGGGTCATACATAGAGCAGAGGAAGCCCACTAAAATATAGAGTATGGAGAGTACTTCACCTGCCAACACAGCTAAACCTGAAGAGACAGGAAACAAGGGTGGGGAAGACTTTGAAGAGCAAAGAATATAGGATATCTATCCTGTGACAAAATTGTGTTAAACTCTAAAAAACCAGAGAATACAACAATTTAAATAATCTCATGGGCTAATTTCTCGTCAAGGCCTTATTTCTAACCTGAAAGTGAAACTCGGCCATCCTTACCCGACAAATCTCCATGACCTTCCTATGAAACGATAAGCTGCTCTTCAAGCTGCGGTCTCCCGTGGGTGCCGGCTCATACTTCAGCCATCACTATAAGCCCATTTTCTTGCTCAGATATCTGATCCTGGGTATGTGATGCCGAGGTGGCCGGCTGAGAGGGCTGAGCGAGCCGTAACCTGTGAGCCTCCAATCTCATCATAAGCGAGCGGAGATCCTGACAGCTGGAGTATGAAAGAAGCAGAGGCATGTCAGAAATCCTGCCTATTGTACACTGTATGTAGTCAGGCTGCAAAAAAAACATGCTGTGTCCAGCCACATTAAAGGGCACACTTTTATCAAAGTCATAGGTGGCAAACATTTTTATTTTTTGCCGTTAACAAACTCTTTGTAATGTGACCCTAAATTTAGCACATATTTTCTATTTATACCTGATATTTCAGTGTGTATACGCTCTATAATACTGCTAGCAAACCTCTTGAACCCGACACTAAGCAATCCCAAACTTCCATTATTCTTCAGCCATCCATCAATCTGACAGTAATTTAAAGCAGCAAAAGCATGCATGTCCACCTTTACCCTATAACTAAAACTCTAAAAACTAAACAGAAAAGTGAACTCTCTCAGTGTTTTCAAGAACAGAGCAGCCAACAAAGAACCCACTCTGACACTTCTTCAGTGTGTGAATAAATTATGAGTGATGGTGCTTTGTAGTGAAGGCAGCAGAGCGTGTTGTCCAAATGTTCTGCTTTTTAATGATTTAATTATAAAACCTCACTCAAACTGAAGCAGAAAATTCCAACAAGAAGATGAGCAACGAGCTCTGCCAGGGAACAGAACTGCAACTCAAGACCCCGTGTTAATTACCGCAGCAGCCTGACAGATGTGCCTCACACTTCTGCCCATTTCCTGCTTGATTTAAATAACCATGAGGAATGCCAAATGTTGTCTTCATGAATAAAATGATTTATGACAACTACACATTATGTCTTTCTAATTTCCCATTTTCTCTCTTTGTTTTACAAAGGATGGTGTCTGCGACTTGAGGCAGCTACACTGACTCATTTATTACAGCCATCATTAATTTCCGATCAGTCCCCACTAAGACGAACCGCTCAAGTTTTGGGTCTGTTTTGCAGCTCATATATGGAGGCTGCGCATACTGACAGGGCCAAATATTTTATCCAATTTCCTCAGAGTTTAAAGCTGTAGTTAAAAACTTTTGATTTGTGTTGATTTTGGCGCCCCCTGTAGACAAAGCCATACCTCTTATCTCCAGTTCTGTACATGTGAAAATAAATCTCTGAACAGGGCACGCTATCATAACATTAAGAGCTACTTTGAGTGAGGTTGAACCAACAGGGTGCCATTCACACACGAATTCAACCAACAGGGGCTGTCAATCATTTTCATACCCCATGATCTTGAAAACTTGACCAAAGTTCACAGAACTCAAACATTTTTCTTTGAAAGTCAGCACAAAGTCATCTTTTAAATCTTTTTTTTTAATTAGTTCGTTAAGCTGAAACAACTTAAAATATGATATATTGCTATTTTTACAGTGTACAGTTATGGATTCCATTCATCATTAGGCAGTTTGTAAGAAGTCAGAGTAAGTCAATGCACTGCAGAGACCACTGCATAAAACAGTTGTTATTGTTAGTTTATGCAAACTGACCTTTTCGTAGTCCATACTAACAAAAACACCTTAACACCTCCTGCCAGACTGGTAAGGATTTAGACTTTTACATGATTTGAAGAGATTGATACCATATGCAGCTTGAGCTACCATGGTGAAGGGTACAATGTGAAAAGCGAGTCTCTGCTTTGAAACCCAAGGCGAGTTAGTCTGTGAACCACAAATGCTGCTGTAATTATATGGTCTGGAGCCATTTAGCATAAAGCAGAGGAAATGATTTCCCAATGTTGTACATGTTTATTTAATTCAACAGAAGGGTAAATGTCAATAAAGGCAAAAAACTGGCTTATTTCTGGGTTGGTGCAAGTCCATTGATTTCCAGGCAACCTAAATGTGCTTGTTAGTGGGAGCAAAATCAGCCTATGTAGGTTCTTGGCATGATTATAGGCCCCACTTGCAGCCCACTTTGGTATTATTAGTAGCCCACATGAGTGCAGCAGACATAGTACCTTGGTAGAGCCAGAAAAAAACAACTCCTCAATTGCTTTGCCAGCTCATCATCCATCCATATGAGACCAGCATGGATAAGTGGGAGTCCAAAAGGACTTCTGTTTTAAGCACCAAGCAGAATGACCTGCCAGCTTTTCTGATCAACAACTCAACAAAACCCATTAACACTGACCATCATAACACTTTACAGATATAAAACACATACTACTAAAGATTAAAATCCCAATCCATGTCCAATCTGTCACTTGACAAGGTGTTGCAGTCACCACAAAGTTAATGTACTGTGTGCACATGCTGCTCATCCTGGGTTGGGGAAGCGTGTGTGCACCCAAGTCACTCCCCCAAGCCCTTCACACGATTTTCACATAGACAAGATATAGGGGAGTGTGGGGTAAGTTGAGCCACCCCCTGTTGCTTGGAAATAGTAAAAGAAATTGATCATGTGACCAAATATTTAGGAGATGGGCATCAATTCATGGAGTCTGTGAAAGTTAGAAGCGCATGGGTGAAGGGGTTAGACATGTATTTCCAAATAAAAACCTTTTTCCCTCTTGAAAGTGAATTTAGTCTGTCATAAGTTTTATTAGAATTGTGTTCAGACCAAAAAAGATCATTTTAAATTTGTTTTATACATCAATGTGGTATAAATGGTACATTGGTACAATGTATGTGGTATCTATGAGCTACAACATAAAGTCAAAAACCTAGCATAAAAATCCACCATTTTAGCTTAGAGGACTAATAAAGTCATAACAGTAGATCTAGGGTAAGTTGAGAAAGTGAAAGGAGTAGGAGAGGGAGACCTTTTTATTTGATGTGCGATATTATCAAGACAGTTATGTTTACACTCATTCTGTTGGTTTGCAGGGATGCACAACATCTTGAAATATATGCAGATACACTAGTTAGAGACAAAACTATGATCATCTTGATGTAGTGATCTGAAATATGAAAAATGGCTCATCTTACCCCACTCTCCCCTATTCAGATTTTGTACTCCAAACCTATTGATTATCTGCAGTGACAAAACCTCAGCAGGAGCTCTCCATCTATAGAAAGCCAAGATCCAAATTTATGCACTGCCACACTCCAACAAGCAGATGCATACAAGGGGATATGTGCTCTAATAAAAACTGTGAAACTCTGCTGCCTGTGTTTATCTATTTGGATCATTAAATCTGATGTAGATCAATAGTAAATCCTTAGCACGCTTTTTTAACACAATGAAACTTCTGTTTTTCTATGTTTCATTTTAACTTCCTGAGGGATTAACCTTTTTTGCCCAGAGTCTATAGCGCTCTCTTTTTATTGATTCCTATCTCATTACCCTCTGTGTGTCCTGATGCAGGTACCAACACGTTGGAGAGCACCATGTGCATACAGATTTATAATTGTGTACTGTCTCTGACTAATGTTCAACTCTCAGGACGTCCAATAACGATAGCAAAGACATATTTGTAGTTGGGCACTTGTTCCTCCACTCATACTTTTAGACGGATCATGGCTGCCATCTGGTGGCAGAAAGAGAAACAATAGCAGGGACTGTCGTAAAAAAACATCGTGTTACTCCCTCGTTTGACGGCAATGCGTAATGCGTAAGTGTCGGCATGGCGTCCTCTTTGGTTTGCAGTGACACTCAGAGCAGGTAAACACAAATGCATGATTATGAAGTTTAGTCGTTAAGACGCAGCACGTACACCTTAATGATATTATCAGTGTATATCACTAGTTTACCGCAGACTGCCTTGTTAATGACACGTGCTGTATGATTTTGTGTAAACGTTTTTCTATTCGCTTGTTCTCTCATTTCAGGGTGAGCTCAGTACTGAACAGGGATGTGAAACAATTCGGAAAGAAGTTCTTGTTTGACAGCAACGAAGAGACGTGTTGGAGCTCTGACCAGGTAACACTACAGCAGCAGACAAACCGTATGATTCTTGTGTTCACAAACCGACCAGCCATAATGAACGTGACTACTTACAGGAAGCATAGGGAAGACTGGGGTAAGTTGAGCAAAGGGTATTTTGAGCCACCTCCTGTTTCTTGGAAATGGTAAAAGAAATTGATCATGTGACCAAATATTTAGGAGATGGGCATCAATTCATGGAGTCTGTGAAGGTTAGAAGCAAATGGGTGAAGGGGTTAGACATTCATTTACAAAAAAACATTTTTCACTCTTGAAAATGAATTTAGTTAGTTCCGATCAAAAATGATCATTTTAAATTTGTTTTAGACACCAATTGTGGTATCTATGAGCTACATCATGAGGTCAAAAACCGAGCATAGAAGTCCACCATTGTAGCTTAGAGGACTAATAAAGTCATCATAGTAGTTCTGGGGTAAATTGAGCCAGAACTGAGAAAGTAAAGGAGTCTGATGAGAGGATCAGAGTTTCAGTTTAGATTGTTGAAATGTTTTACTTTTTTCTTTTCAAAAATACAGCCGTGAATGTTCTGAATCACTTAAAGACATTCTCATATTAAAATGGCTTTTTACAAAACAGCTTTTTAGCAGTTATATTCAATAATGATTAAAAGAATTGTTGTACCAGTTGAATAGTGTACAATAGATAAAAATATACATGAATGTGAAGAAGTGACTATTATTTAGGGAGAGAGAAGGTGAGGGAGGGCTGGGATACGGCTCATCTTACCTCGCTCCTATGGTCAACTTACCCCATACACGGGGTAAGTTGACCATAGGAGACCACTTTTTTTTTTTGCATGCTATATTATCAAGACAGTTATGTCTACACTCATTCTGTTGGTTTGCAGGGATGAACAACATCTTGAAATATATGCAGATACACTAGTTAGAGACAAAACTATGATTGCCTTGATGTAGTGATCCGAAATATGAAAAATGGCTCATCTTACCCTGCTCCCTCCTACAGTTTTACAGACATGACCAGACGGGTATATATTGATATCATTATTGAGCATGTCGTGGGTGGTGGTGATGTGCTTTGTTGTGTTTGAAGGTTTCCCTTACATTTAGTCCTCTTTAAAAAAAACGCAAAATATTAGGAACACTTTTCAGTATCACGCACTTCAGTACACCTGCACCGGCACCTATTATAACTTCAGCAGCAATGATAAAGATCTGTTCGATTAAATCAATTAATATTGAATATGCTGAAGCTTTGTAAAAGTCTAATTTGTGATAGAGTTGTATTATGTTTTGTTAGATTTCTTAAGTGTTAATGATGTTATGGCCGGTTACATTTACATTCACTGTGTGAGACTGCACCCACGTGTACTCTATTTGTGTTTCTATTCTAAAACAAATAACATTTATAATATGTCATCCTCAGAATGTGAACAAAAACTCTCATACTTCAACCAAAGTAAATGCACTACAGGCAAACAACTAAGTGAAATACTGAATGTTTCCTCTAATAATTTGAAAGAAAGTTTCCAAATCTGTCTACCCCTCATCAAAAATTTGTATGAGAAATTGTAAAATTGTGAACAGCGATTGCATGAAAAGAAAAGTACACAAGCGCAGCAGGCTCAGTTCCCAGTATACACACAAACTTGTCACTTACTTGGCACACATTCTTGCTCTTATGACTCCTCTTGTAAGTATTAAAAGTGTGTAAATATACTCCTGATACTTCAAGTCTTCCACTTGCGTCATGTTATTTATTTGTATTAATAGCATTTAGATGTGTGTGCTCAAGATTTTTTTAAAGATGCTTTTATAGACTATTACTGTTTTATTTTTAACAGGGTGAGTATCAGTGGGTGTCTCTGGAGTTCCCCAAGTCTGTCAGAGTGTCAGAGCTGAAGATCCAGTTCCAGGGTGGCTTCTCTGCAAAAACATGCAGATTGGAGGGTAATCCCCAGACCTTACATCTTTAACTGTAAACATGACCTTAAATGGGTTCCTGATGCGATTTTCTCCTGGTTTTGCATGAAGTACAGTTTGAGATAAAATTTAGGTTGTGACAGTGTAAGGGCAATGATCATTTGCTTGTGCTTTCTGCAGGTTGCCCAAAAGATGGAGACTTTGGAGCAATCAGCAATTTTTATCCAGAGGACAACAACTCTCTTCAGATATCCTTACTTAAAAAAGTTTTGACAAAGGGTTAGGGGTAAATACTGCAACAGAAACCCAATTACTTTTTTCTGAATGCAAAGCAAAATGGGAGGATATATTTTTATTGACTTTTGTTTCTAGAAAAGAAGTTGTTACTATTATTATTGAAAAAGCTTCTAATATAAATTAACTCAAATTCTTTCACTCACGGTAAGCAGCAGCCAATTAAAATGTGTGCTTTCACGGATTGTAAACATGATTCTTACATTTTGCTTTAATACATTTAAAATACTGCATGTTAGTCTACTCAGGACAGATTACAGAAGCTGGAGCTGTACCTGTCATCCTGTCACATTCTGTGTTTCCTTGTACTGTTCTAGTTGGTTCATAAGTATCCAATAATATTTTCCTGGACCTGTTTTTCATTATTACCATGCTTATCTTGTTCTTAACTCCACACCCACAGCTTTCCCATACAGGAGGCCCCTGCAGTTGACAAAGTTAAAATAATGTTTGAGAATAGTGCTGACTTTTTTGGGAGAATTATTGTTTATTCCTTGGATGTCCTGGGGGAAAAAGCCTCATGACCATTTTTTTTTTACCCTCTCATGAGAGAGGAAATGAACCCTGGGTAATGTACAGGATGGTGTGGAGGCACATCTGTACTGCCACCTCATGAACTGATGTGAATGTGCCCTTTTTTGGTATGGACTTTTAAAGGGATCTGTCAAGTCATCTCACTTCTGCTGACTTTAAGGGAGCACAGAAGGCATCATGATGGAGCCTGGTGTCGGGTATTATTACAAATTTAATGGACTTCTTCACATTCTCTCTATTTATCATGTGCCTTTAATTGATGCACCTGTCCAGTGGAACACATGGTATAAAAATATATCTTTATTGAAAAGTATCGTTCCTCATTCGGACAGTAAAATTCTGCCGCACAACTTTTGTATTTTAGTGCTTGATTTTACATTGTATACAAATGGAATAAACTATTCATACAAAATTAAAAACACACTGTTTACTCAGTGTTAATTTCTATGCATATTGGATGGTCTATCATAATCAAATTAATTAAATTTTTTGACAGAAGTCTTGGTCTTCTCACCACCACCATCTGACAGCCTGATGAAGATCTGAGAACAACTGTGTCCATTCTTATTTAAGGTTGTGTCATGTTGGTTGCTTGTAGAGTTTCAGAATATGGTCCTCCAACACTTTCTGAACTAGAACACAAAAGAAATGAAAAAGTTGATTCAGTACAGCTCACATCTGTTACATTCACTTAAAATGAAAAGGAAACTTATGTTATATAACTGCTGAAAGAAAACAATGCATACGCTTCTTGTGTCCGAGGGCAACAGCTAAGGCCATGGGACTGTACCCAGAGTCTGACTCAACGGTCATGTCTGCCCCTTTGGCTGCAAACAGTGCAGTTTAGGGGATTATTTAAGTATTCTCTAGACTTTATGACAATGCTATGTAAATAAGGATTTAATTGGTATTTACCCAAGAGTGCTTCTACACATTTAATGTGGTTCCCACGCACTGCATAAAGGAGAGGAGTGCCACCATTCTGTTTTAAATACAAGAATAATCATTAAAAAGTATCATGTAGTAGCTGCACTTCAATTTCTACACATTTATAGTATCTTTGTAACCTAATTAACTTGCTACAGTTAATGAACTTTATCTAACAATGTCATTGTGTACCCAGTCATAAGTGTTGATGTCAACTCCATGTCTCAGAAGAGACTCCACGATATCCACATAACCTCCAGAGCTGGCCAGAGTCAGGGCACTCTCCCTCTCTCTTGCTATTGTTTTAGGATCTGCACCCTACAATTAAAACAGATAAATAAAGGGCATCAGTTAGCGCATTTTGTTTTAACATGTTCATTTCTGTCTGGACTGCAGAAGCTTCTTTCTTACCTTTTCCAAGAGGAAATCTACCATTGCTTTCTCTCCAAACGCAGCTGCCCACATTAAGGGTGTAAAGCCCCGTTCATCCTGTTTACTGAGCAGCGAGCCATCTAAAAAATTGAGGAGTACATCTCACTTACAATTGTGTTGTACATACAGTGCATGATGTCTTGACAGTTACATGCCGACTTCTCACCTCTACTCAAGTGTCCAGCCACTTGTGAAACCTCACCCTGAGCTGCCAACTGGTGTATTGAGAGAGCTGATTGGGAAAAAAAAAGTCTGAGTTATTTATTAGATTCATGGCACTGATTTCATCATGATTTGCTTTATTTATATATTCGAAGTCCTGGTCACCAGTGTACTGTAGTGATGGACAAGGCAGTTCTTTTAGATGTACTGAATCACTAGAATCAGTTCACTAAAAAGATTCGTTCACCAAATCACAGAATCATGTAGCGCCTGGTGGGAGAAGCCTGCGACTTCGACCTCCTGAACCGATATACAGCTGAACGGTTCAGGATTCAGTTCAATTCATAGCTTCTGGGACAGGGAGACAAGTGTTTGGCTGTGTTGCTTTGGCAAACAGGGTTTTAAAAATGAACTTGTTTATAAGGCATGATGTTTTAAGTACACTGTCTTCTGGTATGCTATTTATCCGGTCTGCTTGGTAAATTGGCGAACATGCAGTCCCTCGTTCGCCAGCTACTGGCCTGGCCATGCTGTTTCTCACTTCAACTCAACTCAAATGAAATGAAATCGAGGAAGTGATTCGGTTCAGTATGGTCACTGAAAAGATTCGTTCCTTTTTTAACGAATCGTTTGCAAACGACACAACGCCAGTGTACTGTGTCTTTACCAGTAGCCTACTTACAGTCTAATGTTGCTGGTCGCACTGTGACTTCATTCCCACGCTGCTTGTTGGTCAGGGTGGTGGAGTGTTTGAACAAACTTTCTTCATCCGCATCCATGCCCTCTGGAGACACTGGATCATTCAGATAAACCACAAAGAGTTACAGTTTAACAGATTAGAATGAAAAATACAAAAGGAACTAATGATATTGTATAAAAAATGAAATAGGCTACGGTAAGAGAGTGACTGCATGCACTTGTGTAACTAATATGAAACATTAGAAGTACAGATACCATTGGAACCCTCATCTCTTGACTCGGAGGGACAAGTATTGGCAGTGGATGGTTGGATAATTTGTATCTCTACAACCTCTTCATCATCTCCGGCCTCCATGACCACTGCAACGACCGAGGCAAGAACTAATAAATAAATATCGTACATGTATTGAGAAGAAGAAACAAAGTTTGTGGAGCTAATTACATGATCGACTCACCGCATCCAGCCTCGCAGTCTAATCGGCCCTAACTTCCTTTCGGAAAAACTGAAAGTAAATTATTTCATTCCACACGCTGGAGATTTCTGGACACAGAAGTGTACCCCTGTGCAAGAGTCATCTCTCAGTTGATGAGCAATTCATTTTATCCCATATATTTACGAGAACTGGAAACACGTTTGATTTAACTAACGCGACGTTTCACAGCATTCTGTACTCTTTGAAGGAAGAACCGTTCTTTTTCGCGATACATTGTTCTACCCGGAGTACTACCGCGGTAGCACACAACAACAAAAACACGGAAAAAACAAGAATCAGCTGACACAACTCGTTGAAGCTGCACCGTGTCACCGGTTTTTGACCGAATCGAGCACTGTGACAAATGGAAGACCAAGAGATGCAACTGAAAGTCCGGCGAGGTAAACACTTGCCGAGTAAAACAGCAGGAATACTCACCTCATCATTGCTAAATCTGTTTTAGCTTCGATTAGCCGCGAAGCTAATGCTATCTTAAACGTCAAGGGAGTCGTGCAACTTCCCTGTTTCACGCAGCTAAATGTTTTAATTTCTAACTGTGCCTATGTGTATCACGCTCTTGTGTCTTGTTTTTTCTCCTGCAGTGACTGACAAGTTCACAGAGAGCATGTATGTCCTCGCTAACGAGCCGTCAGTTGCTCTGTACAGACTGCAGGAGCACGTTAGGAGGTCCCTGCCTGAACTGGTCCAACATAAGGTATTTACCTTCATCCTGTGCTTTAACCTGGACACTGAGAGAAACATAAAGCTTAAGAATTAGTTTTAATTGTAGTATTCCAATGGACATCATTAACATCATCATATACAGTGCCTTGAAAGAGTATTCATACCCCTTGAACTTTTTCACATTTTGTCACTCTACAACCACAAACTTGAAAGTATTTTATTGAGATTTTTTTGTCATAGACCAACACAAAGTAGCACATAGTTGTGAAGTGGAACGAAAATGATACATGGTTTTCAAAAATTTAAACAAATTAAATTCTGAAAAGTGTGGTGTGCATTTGTATTCAGCCCCCATGTGCCATCTTTCGCTGTAGTTACAGCTGCAAGTCTTTTTGGGTATGTCTCTACAAGCTTTGCACATTTAGAGACTGAAATTGTCTCTGACTAGCTTCCCTGTCCCTGCTGAAGAAAAGCATCCCCACAGCATGAGGCTGCCACCACCATGTTTCACAGTGGGGATGGTGTGTTCAGGGTGATGAGCAGTGTTACTTTACCACCACACATAGCGGTTTGCATTCAGGCCAAAAGTTCAACTTTGCTCTCATCTGACCAGAGCACCTTCTTCCAAATGTTTGCTGTGTCCCCTACATGGCTTGTGGCAAACTGCAAACAGGACTTTTTGTGTCTTTCTGTCAACATGGCTTTCTTCTTGCCGCTCTTCCATAAAGGCCAGATTTGTGGAGTACACGACTTATAGTTGTCCTGTGGACAGATTCTCCCACCTGAGCTGTGGATTTCTGCTGCTCCTCCAGAGGGACCATGGGCCTCTTGGCTGCTTCTCTCACCAGTGCTCTCCTTGCTCAATCTGTCAGTTTAGGTGGACAGCCATGTCTTGGTACGTTAGCAGTCGTGGCATACTTCTTCCATTTTTGGATGATGGATTGAACAGTGCTCCTTGAGATGTTCTAAGCTCTGGATATTTTTTTATAACCTAACCCTGCTTTAAACTTCTTCACAACTTTTTCCCTGACCTGTCTGGTGAGTTCCTTGGTCTTCATGATGCTCTTTGTTGACTAATGTTCTCTAACAAAGCACTGAGGCCTTCCCAGAACAGTTGTATTTATTCTGATACTAAATTACACACAGGTGAACTCTATTAATTAATTGGTTGACTTCTGAAGGCAATTGGTTGCACTGTATTTTATTTAGGGGTATCAGAGTACAGGGGGCTGAATACAATTGCACACCACACTGTTCAGATTTTTATTTTTTTAAACTTTTGAAAACCATGTATAATTTTCATTCCACTTCACAATTGTGTGTTACTTTGTGTTGGTCTATGACAAAAAATCTCAAAATACTTTTAAATTTGTGGTTGTAGAGTGACAAAATGTGAAAAAGTTCAAGGGGTATGAAGACTTTTTCAAGGCACTGTAATTGTGTCTGCCAAGCATCAAGATTAATATTGTTGATGATGTGATCAAGACTAGACACGTGATATGATGCAACAACTGTACAGTGTCAAGCAAATGAACTACAACTAAAGAGAGTATATGCAGTCACACTCACACATACACTCAGTATCTGGCAGTTTTCCCTTGTGTTGCTTCAGCACTCAAATAGGCTCTGTTTGTCTGCGGGGCTGGAAGCTGCAGTTTATAAGATCGCAGTTCTTAACCCACATCATCAGGACCTCTGTGTTGTGTGACACTTAGTAAGTAAGTAGATAAAGTTTATTTATAGAGCGCTTTTCACAGATAAAAATCACAAAGGGCTGTACATAAAATAAGTGCAATTGGATAAACATAAACGATACACACAAATACGAATACAGTACAGTTGAGTACAGAAATAAGTTCAGATACAAAAGATAAGTAAAAGAGACAAACAAAACCCTGTTAATTGAGAGCTTGTCAATTAAAAGAGTCTTCAACTGCTTTTTAAAAACATCCACTGAGTCGATCAAATGAAGGGAGATGGGTAGATCGTTCCAGAGTCTGGGGTTAATGGTCTTTAAGGCCAGGTCTCCCTGAGTTTTAAATCGGGTCTTCGGCACCTTTAGGAGGTTCTGGTCTGAGTGTGTTGCACAACAAGTCAGTGATGTACTGGGGGGCCTGACCATGCAGCGCCCGGAAAGTTAGAACTAAAATTTTAAGATTAATATGATAATTGACCAGTAGCCAATGAAGACGCAATAAGACAGAGGTGATGTGAGCAGATTTGGGCATGTCTGTCAGAAGTCTGGTGGCTGAGTTTTGGACAAACTGATGTCTCTTTATTGCTGCCTTATTAAAACAAATGAACAGAGAATTGCAATAACCAATACGGGATGAGATAAACGCATGAATGATCGATTCAAGATCTGGTTTCGACAACATTCTCTTCACTTTAAAGATATTTCTCAGGTGATTAAAAACAACTTTTGGTCAGCTGTCGCGAATGATGTGTACAGTCCATGGTTGCACACGAAACATGCAATCATACACACAAGAAGTAATGCTATTGTAAATAACAAGGATTTTAAAATAGCCATTGAAGAGCCTCTGGGTCTGCAGTCACATGCTACTCACTAAATTGGCTCTAGTCAGTCTCTATGCAGCTTGAGCTTCATCTGCCAGTTTTTTCAGGTGCAGCTGTAAAGTTCATGGCAAATGTATTATGATGTCTTCAATTTTTGCTTGTCAAGTGGCGCACAATCAAGGGACTAAACAGGTTTCAGGTCACAACAAAGAAGATGGTTAGGGCTTGATTATCCAGAGCTGTTGAGGATGCAACATTAGCCAAAACAATCAGCTAGTCTCCTCCTATTTGCTGTAAGCACCAGGTGTATCTAAAGCCAGGTGCATTTTTATTTACACAGCAGATTTCAGCCTCTCTAATTTAGATCGACCAGGCTTGGGCCAGCATATCATTCACAGGACACACACATGTCACTGTGTGAGTAATGGCTTTGAGGGATTCAAGTTTAAGAGGGACACTTATTTACACATAGGGTAAGGTTGTGTTACTTCATCGAGTTCAATCTCAACATGGACAGACTTTTAAGTATCTGATAGGTGAGATGTTTTTCACTGAAATCCCATGTGCTAAACAATAAAGGTGGCTGAGCACATTTGTTTCCTAAATTTTGCTGCTGGATCACATGACTGTACTGCATGTAAAATGAACACATTATCTGTTGACATGATGTTTTTGTTTCACTGATTGTTTGAGAATCATGAAAAATGTACAAGCAAGTGTTTCTGTTACTGTGTGCTTCATCTGAGAGAATCTAGATCACAGTCAGTACACATGGCAGAGTGTTGGTCAGTCTCAGGCTAAAGTTTTGGGCCTGTACAGGCCTGTAGTGCTGGCATCCTGACATCGACCTTAAACTGAAACTGTATTATGGAGACCAAGGACACAGGAGCTCACTAACTCCAAGTACTCTGTCCTGTTAAAAATCTCAGTTCAAATGTACCAGCAGGTTTGTCCTCATGAGTAGAACCACAGCTGTGTGTCTCTGTGTGTATGAAACAAGCAGAGGAACATGTGTCATGAATGTTTATCTCATGGACACTCTAAATATCAGAAAAGTACTACACCATAGACTTAAGACCTTAGACCAGGATTTAGTCGCATCGGGACAAAAGCAGCAGACTATCTCTCTGTCTAACTATACTTTATTTTGAAACCAACATGCCCACGGGTGCTAATGTGGGCGCAAGTGGCTTTGCTTTTCATAAAATGTGGATGCAAGCCATGAAAATGACAACTGCAATGAGGTTAAAATAGAAGTGATACTTGGGCTGGAACAGGGAGCTCTGTGCCAGGTGTGAGTTTAATGTAATGTTAGCCTGAAATGGCCTTCAGAATGAGCGTGTCTTTTTCTATTCAGTGTAATGGATGAGTATGAATTTTGCTCGAGCTAATTGGATTTGGTTGCTGCTGTTAACTTTCTAATATTCATTCTCTCTATTCTTAGCAGCCTCTTTCTTTATTGCTGAAGTGCTTTTCTGCAGTTCTGACAGGATACCAGCAGCTATGGAGATCTTTTCTTTGATGATTTAACATGTGCTTTGTTGTCCAATTTCACATCTTTACTTGATTGTTTAATGTTTAACGTAAAAACATATCATCTACTTTGATTATAAAGTTCTGCTGTTTGAATGCAGTAGTTTTACTTACCTGTCCTTTCCTCCTCCATAGACAGACATGCAGAGCTGGGAGGAGCAGAGTCAAGGAGCCATCTACACTGTGGAGTATGCATGCAGGTGAGGAGCACAGTCCTGTGTTATTGGATTCATCCAGCCACATTGCTTTTGCTCTATTGACTGCTAACACTTGAATCATTCTGCTGGATTTTTCAGTGCAGTGAAGAGCATGACGAACAGCAGCTTGTGTTTTAAAAACATCGATGGCCTCCTTCGTCAGGCCATCAGCCTGAAGGAACAGATCAGCACCACTCAAGGTCGCAGGTAGGAGGCAGTGAAGGACACCTTTATGTTTACCTAACTCATTACACACAAGTAAGGGAACTTCAAGGGTTTTTGTCACCTTGCTGAATATTTGTGCTACTATCTCAGAGTGTTTACTGATTTTTAAAGAAAGAGGACAATTTTGATCAGTCTGAGGCAAAAAAACAGCAACATAATTAATGCCAATGATTGACAAACCAGAGGATTAGTGTTTATTCAAACATTATATATATATATATATATATTTATTTCATGTTTGTATTCTCCCTTTCCCCTACATCATAATGAATTACACCAGCTTTCATTTGTTTCATTTGCTCCTTCATTTATGATCATTTGTATTGATTACACTTTTGCCTTTCACTCTTCCATTTTGTTTTATTTTATGACATTCATCCCCCGATAACAGCAAATCATGTTCAGTCCACCTATGAGCTCTCTGTGGTTGATGGGAAATTCATGCTTTCTCTTTCATTTGTCTGTGCTGTTTTTGTTTCCAAATGACACCTGCATGACACTTAAAGTGATGTGACCCCCTCTCCCAGTCCCCTTGTCTCTGCTTCACATGCCCCCTCCACTTCCTCATGACATCTGCACAGAGGTGTCCAAGGTTAGTAGTTCCTGCCAGGCGTGATATGATCATGTTCAGATCTGTACTTTGTGTGAACTTACTTTCTTTGTTCTTGAAATGTGTGGTATGTATATTTAATCACAACTGAAGTACAAAGTTTTTGTTTTTTTCACGAGTAGGATTTTGTTTTTATTCAGATGACATAAAGGCATCCTACTTTGAATCTAAGTTAAATTTTCTAAAATTTTATTCAAGTTGATATGAAACACACAAACATCAAAAAACAAATCGGCAAATAATGCACAAATATTTGGCAAAAAGCTAACATGTACAGCGGAATAAAGTATTTACATTATTATAATGAAAGCTTCAAATTTATAGGATTGATACTCTGTCAAAATCGGTCTTTACAACGGCATTTAAATCATGTTCATTCATAGAAAATACTACAAACTATAAAAGTTGTGCTCAGTATGTTCAAATCAAGAATCTTTTACACTTTCAGAAGTAGATCAACTGAGAGACTCGGGTGTGTTTTTCAGTCCATGTTGTCAGGAATCAGTCAAGGTGAAAAGCTTAGGGTCAAGGGGTAAAAATTGACAGTTCTATATCTGTGTAAGATGACGTCTCTGTTAGCGGTCTTCTTTTCAGTGTCTTTATCCACACATTCAGCTCCCTCTCTATCACACAAGGGTTGAGTCTTTTGCTGTAATCCCAGTCTTGCGAGCGAGAACACTCCTCATCTCACTGTTGACCCCATTCCAGGGTTTAGCCTGAGACTGCAGTATACCAGATTCCGTAGACAGGGTCCTGTGCATTCTGGGACCACTGCCACCACTGCTGTATCCATCTTTATCACTAGTGTGGCCCTGGGATCCTCTATCTGGCGAGTACTGTGGTTGCTGGTGTTTTTCTCGCTGTCTCGGGTTACTGTACTGAGGGTAGGACATTGGATGTTGGATGTGAGACTCATGCCGGTGTATCCGCGGTTTGTCCACGCCAATTTTAAGCTCACAGGGTCGGGGGAGAGGTTTGTTGCTACTCCCATGATCATTCTCGTAAAGAGTGTCGATACGGTCCGTCTTATACTGCTTGGCACCACAAGTAGCTTTGACCAGAGAGTGGGTCACGACAAACAGGAGGATTAAAATCCCAGAGGAGAGTATGCAAGCACTCGCGATGCCAGTCTCCTGCTCAAATATCAGGAGCATAAAGATGGACATAGCTGTGAAGGAAGAGAAAAAAGGACAGGGGGAATAAAATGTGAATGTTTCAGTAACATTTTCTCAATGAGCCACATTATTTCAGTGCCTGAGTCCTTCACAATGTTACATGAAGCCTTCTGTTCTGGGATGAGTTGTTTCTTTGTTGAATTTACTTTGTTCCTGTGATTTTTGAGCGGTAAAGCACCAGAATCTTGATGAAAAAGTTTCACCTCTTTGAGATTTATATGATTTTAATGTATCTTAACTTCCAGAAAAAGGACTATGGACCCTGGCCCGATGAAGGAAGGAGGTGAAAAGCACAGCTCCGGGATGTGATGGATCTTCCTGAGTTGCTGGTGTTGCTTCCATGGTCCCTTACTCTGCTACCTCTTGATAGAGGCTGAAGAGGGGTCTTAAGGGCAACACCTCCTCATTACAATGGAGTGGCTGCCTCCAGTGACCCCCACCAGTGCAAGCCGCTCAGTGGAACAGAGCACCAGAGCACTGCCAGGGCCGGCATTTAAAAACACTCAAGTCATGGACGCTACTCAAAGAATGCATTGTTCTCGCTGGACAGAACAGGGAGTAAGCAGTTGAGCTGTTTTAGTCTGCTGCTGCTGGAAATCCACATTTTTGCCAATGCATGGACAAAAGTTGTCAGGTTTCTGTTGATACTGTTGTTAAAAACTAATGCCCAAAAAGTACTTCACAGTCAGAGCTAATGTGTATTCATTGAAAACAACTTTTTTCGCCAAAAAAAGAGGTGTCCAGTTCTTATCTGCATTTTAGGATGAGGTTTATGTATCAGCCTGACCGAACGAGAAGTTCCTAAGTAGGAGATTCAATATCTTATCATCTCAAATAACTTTTTTTTTCAGTTATTTGTTCTTACCTGCCAAATAGACTGAAACCCCAAGGCAGAAGAGTCCTATAGCCACATGTCGTATAGACCTGCTGTCCAAAAGGAACCAGTCTGCTCTGTGGAAACAAATGTCATATGTCAAAGTGGAAGCATGTCTGCAGTTAAACTAACTACTTTGTTTTTTTCCTGTATGGTAACTGGAGATGATTTAAAGCATCATTTCTGAACCAGGTAGTTTCTTTTGTGTGAGTTCATGACAGCTTTTTTACTTAACATTTCTTTAGTCCCTTTTTTGTCCATCAGAAGTCAAGCATTTTGATTATTAGTTATTAAGGTTAGTCAAAATGTTTAAAAACTTTGTAAAGCTCATTATTATTCACATTTCTTGGAATGTCCCCTCTGTCAGGAGGGAGGTCCTGAGGAATGTTGTTGAATTTGTAAAGCGACGTGGGAACGGGCCAGCTACAGGCCGTGTGCTGGGTGCATAATAAGAGGAAGGCCATTGTTTAGATGGGATTCATAGGGGTTGAAAGGTGGGGGTCGAGCAAAAACACTGCAGTACGGGCCTCTGCACTCTGATGACACATGAGGACGGCCTCTTTAGGCTTCTGAAACTGCATTTTTCTTTTGATGAAACTTCAGATGGGCTACCAGTATCTGCTGCGGCCAACCGAGGATAACCGAAGATTGTGTGGGCACAGAAAAAATGAAATAATTTTTGTTTTCTCCAGTACATGAACTCAAAAACAGAAACCCATGCAGGATAAAATGCAGTGACGTACTATTTTATCATAACAACCAATCAAAATAATAATGTTATGTTTAATTGAGGTAATGATGAAGTCCTGGGTAAGATAGTGCTTTGTATAGTTTTGCTCTGACTAGGGCTGAAAGCTCAGGTTTAGCATGTCTAAATAAAAGGCTCACATATAGAGGTTGAATTGTATTACAATGTGTATTTTGTTGGCCATTCATTGCATTTTGACATCTTTATAAAGTACAGCTAGGCTTCATAACTTCTTTACAGCATAGCAACTGTGACTTCTACTGAAAACAAGACAATTTAATGCAACAGTGAATCTAGTTAGCCTCATTATGAAGTGTAATGTTTGCCAGTGTTAATGAACACGAGCTACTTAAGTGCTGTGTGTGCCAGACTAAGTAGAGTTGAGTCAGCAAAGCTCCCTTGTGAATTAAATTGAGAAAGAGGGGGATTTATAGTTTATGAATTAATCCCTTAGGTTCATATCCTAGGAAACTTGGTGCTTTATTTTGTTTAAACATGTATAGTCGTGCTGAAAAAGTCGAAATAAACGGGAAGAAGCGGTTGAAAATGGATGGATCGATATTGGCCCAATAGCCTCCATCGCAGGTGCTGTGTAATTAAGACCTTATAGCTTACTGACCGGAACTAGCTTAGCTCCGAATTATTTACAGCAAACGCAGCGCGAGAAAGTTGTACAAAGTGTGTGAAACGACCTTCAGGACATTCATAGTTGTTAAATAAGAGTAATATGTGTACCTCTCAGTGTCGTGCTCTCCCCTGCAGACCTCTGTGGAGAAATAGCTGTGGAGCAGACACACCACCACAGAGCTTAAATTCAGTGTGAGGGACAGGGCAGAGAGCACCGCGGAGACGGGCAGCAGCACTGCCCAGACCGTGGGAGGTATGGCCGCAGAGGTGGACGGGGGAGACTCCCTTATTGCGATCTGTTGAGACTGAAGCTGGAAAATTAAAATGACCGATAAAACGGACATGATGGCTGATAAAATCCCCAGTAAAGACAGGACTATGAGAGACCGCTGGCTGTACTTGAGTGTCATGTTTATCCCAAGGGTCCAGAGACAAAAAGAAAGTTTCCCTGGTCGAAGTTTTCAAAGCTCCTCTCCGGTGATCCTACTCTGCAGCATTACTTCGTGGTGGAGTTAATGTTTGCTCGCTCCTTTCGGGATGAATAGTTTCCTCTCCAGAGTGGGTTTCTTTCTTTTTTTTTTTTTTACAGGAGCCTAGTTTCTCCTGCTGTTGTTGTTGAGCGCCCCGCTGCCCTCTCCGAGCATGTGATGTGCTTTAAATCCCCAGATTAAAAACTTCGCAACAACAATGGACTTTTTCTCTTGGATCATCGGAAACAATGCATTGACGTGCTCCTGGGAGAGACAGCTCCCTGGCCAAACACAAAACACCGTCAACAAAGGATATTTAAACAGCTGCCTTTCTACTATAAGCTAATGAAACTAGCACAAATTACCTTTAATGATTTCAGAATAGCAACAAGCAATGTATGAATTGTTGACCACTGGCAAAAACAAAGCAGGACCATAATTAGGCTACTTATAACAGTGAGCTAATAGATTAGCCTAGTTTTTAGGCTCTTATGTATGTTACCTTTTATCCCATAATAAAATGATTAAAGGATTAGCTACAATAGCTCTTCCCAGTAAACAATTTTGATATGACATGACATGAAGAAAAATAAAGCAAAATAAAAAGGAAAAAAAAAGTGTTTCTTGTAAATGGGGGCATGGCAGGTGTAATTAAGAGCTAAGTTTTAAGGAGTTTCAAGCTAGCTTAGTTTACCCCATTTCAGTGTAAAATAGTCTACTATCTTCAATTTGTCCAATTTTCTGAATCTAATTGAATAGTGTTGTTGCCATGGAAACATGTACAGTTTATCCCAATCACAGCTATCATCTATAGCCAGATTACTAAAAGGTAAACAAACACCCCCCAATACTTCCATGTTTATCAACATGATTAAGCACTTAACCCTAGAACACTATCGCTTAAATTGGTAACAGCATCACTATCGCCAGGTGATTTTTACCCAAAATAATATACCCAAGAAAAAGTACTTGTCATCAAAATATATCAAAATAGGACAATGCATGACAAATTCAAGTAGTTTTCTTTTATTTTTAACTGTGCAATGTTCAAAGGAAGGGGGGAAAAAGTGCCATTAGGGGGGCCATATAAAAATGCAACAAAATGACTGAAATTAGGCATTCATGAACAAAAAATTCATGTATATCCATCTATCTCTCTATCTCTCTCTCTCTCTCTCTCTCTCTATATATATATATATATATATATATATATATATATATATATATATATATAGCTGCAGGAGACGGACCCAAAATATGGCATATTTTGAGTAAGTAAAAATGACCAGCTGACTAAAATATTTCTTATCACCATATGAATTCCCTTAAAAATCACAACTTTGTGATAGTCACTGCACGAAATAAAGATAGCATGCAAATTCCAGGACTACTCTTACTGACCTTTTTTCCCTACATATGCAGCTATCAAATCCACCCAAACCTACTGTACCCTCTATCACTATTGCTGGGTTAAAAATCACCCGAACATGTGCCTGTTGGAAAAAGCAGGTTTTGGATCAGGGAAACAAATATGCCTTCAAAGATGTCAAAGGCAATGCTGAAGCTACCCAGGGACACATGATACTCAGACAAACGCAACATCATGAAAATCATGTAAATATGTTTGGTTGGGTGAAAATCACCCAGTGATAGTGTTCTAGGGTTAATAAAATAAGAAACACATTTGATACCTTTATGATCAAATCTGGTAAAACATGAGAGCCACTTGGCAAGCTATATTTTCCGCTGCTGGATGGAAAACACCTTGACACACTTAGTAGCCGATGTGACTTATGATACAGAGGACTGATTGTTCTGTTAAAGGCTGGGGTTAAGGTTTGGGTTTGGGGTGGGTGAAGGGGGGGAGTTAAAGGTGTCGCCTTTATTCTGTTGAGATGTAGATAAGACGGTAGCTATTAAGGTACATAATGTGAACAATAACCCTCACACATGTACACTGACCAGGGAGGCTATTTCTGAATTCGACAGCCTCACCACATGCTCTAAAAGGGTTGAGGCTGATCTTGTCGAAAGCAGAAGTGAGAAGTTTCAGGAAAATGAAAAAAAAAGAAAAAATGGACCAGACACGGAAAGTTCTCAAAGGCACCTTCATCTCTGCTATTTTTACATCATGGCTCTTGCCTTAAGTATGCTTTAGGCTTTCCGTGAGTGTAACAGTTGTATATCAACCTTCAGTATCCGGCTCCATGAAGCTGTTGCACTGTTTACATGTTTAAATGGATAAAGAATACACTACACAGTTATAAGAGAAGCTGCAGGTGATTAGTTTGTTGTGTATATAAAGGGGTTTGCATAATCCTCTGTCCTCACAGGCCCTTGCAGGTGAATCCTGAGGGTAAATACTGTAGCAATCAGCAGGGATGTTGCTAACTATTGCATCAGATGCACCATTTGAGTTACCTCTTGGGGCTCACAAAGTGTGCACGTTTGTGCATACATAATGTAGTGTGTGAGTGTGTGTGTGAGTGCAGGCTGTGTTGACATGTTTCTGTGTGTGACAGGGAAACAGAGTTGTTGTCCACACTTGCACAGATCAGTGCCTTTAAATTCTCACTACATTATTTTTAGGAGTACAATGTGTTGCATCCCAGAATAGTCCATAATGCAGCTCATGCAGTGATTCAGTTATTACCTCTAAATATATCTATCAGGCTCACAGCATGCCTGTTTTCTGTTGGGGTCTTACTTTTGCATCCCTGAGCATGTTATTTTCATTTTTACCTAACTTTCTGTAACCATTCACTTTTATCAGCTGGACCCAGGGAGGGGAAATAAACACATGTGGTAAATAGTTCACTTTGAATGCATTTGGAAACAGGGCTTATGGGCGGTGATATTACATGACTTTTTTTAATTTGATCAAATTTGTGTGCCTTTTTTCCTCTCATAGAAACTTTCTCTTTAAGACATGAATAATTTGCTGAGAGTGTCACAGAGTTGTTGACTGAATTCTGGTAAATGTGGGTTTTTACTGGTGACGGTGTTGCAGTCAATTTTAGCCTGTTGTTGGGCAGTCTCACGATCTTTCCCAGCACATGAGACTGCATTCACAGCCTAAGTTGGGGCTCAGTTTAATAGTCTGACTAAAATGAGATATATTTGCACTGATCTGATCAAAAGGTTTGGAGTCCCAAAAGAATAGACAGGTGAAATTTTTAATTATTTGTTTGGTTGAAAATGAATTCAATTCCACTTTTAAGTGGATTTTTTTTAAGGGAGGAGATGGAAAAATCAATGACACAATCAACTGCTTTGAAATCTGAATAAAATTATCTTTGCAATGCTTCCTTCTACAAAGATATAACAGCTTTAAAAACATTTTGATGTTGTGTAACTGTTAGAATCGTAAATAGACAATTTTGTTCTAGATTATACAAAAATAATGCAAGAATTATTGTTTCCACATACACACACACACACACACATACACACACAAATATATTTACTGCTCGGGGACTAAGATCAAACTTTGCTGTTGCTGGTGTTTTGAGATGAATCAAGGGGGTCAAAAGGGTTCATGATACAGCAAACTTGTGTAGAGCAAACTTGATCAATGTTTGTCCCGTATTAAATGTTGCACATGTACCTCTTTAAGACACTAAGATATTTAAAAGTCTTAAAGGGATGTATGCATAACTCATCTTTAAATACTGTGTGTAGGGGTTACAAATTGTCATGGCATCACATGCTTATGCTTTGGGCATACAAATTCCCTGAGGTCTTTTTACTATGACTACACAGGTTCATTGATTTACACAAAGCATGTAGACCAGCATTTATACATACTACTGTGTCTTCACTGACAGACAGTGAATAGAGAATGTTCCTCTTTTTGTACATTAATAACCCCAGGCATAACTGCTCAACAAATGGACTTGAAAAAGAGAAGAAAATAAAAAAGAAAAACAGCATAGTAGGTCCAAAAAGTAGTGGTATCCAAAGAACCCATAAAAGTGTAAGATACTGTAAATGTTACACAGACAAACACATACACATCATGGTTTCATATTTTTGTAAGTAATCATTTTTAATTTATTACAGCACATTCATAAGGACTATCAGTGTGATAAGTATTTGGCTTACTTTCTCACCACTTTTCATATGAGTGGAAAATACAACTCTTTTCCTCCCATCAAAAAATAAAATAAGTAAATGAACTTTATGCAAATGATAAATCTCAAGACAGCACTACCCTCTCAGTCACCCCCCTTTCCAACCACTGATGCTGATCGACGTTAAAGCAAAACTACTTAAACAAAATACTTCTGAACGGCTGGTACTTTGTCTTTAATTCAGATCTGTGACATTGATTCGGACGGTAGGATGTAACTCGTGTGATCTCGCTGGCAGCCTTTGAGTGACTGTGGTGCGTTCGAAGGCGGATGGGAGGCGGAGGAGTGTGTCCAATGGCACAGTTGAGGAGGAGGTGGTGTGCGCTGACAGAGAAAGGCGGGCAGCAGCAGCCAGCTGTTAGAGAGCAACGCTCCTGAATCATCCACTTCTTCTGCGGCCCCAGGTGGATATTTCTACATCCACACGAGAACAGAGGAGCGGGCGACATTTGTGCGCAAATCTGCGTATTTCTACCCACGACTTTTGACCGGCGCTGGCTAAGTGGGTGAAACTCGAGAAATAACCAGAGAGAGACCGAGACCAGGTGAGAGCAGATGATATGTTTTCGTTTGTGAACTCTAATAATTTCTAGTATGTTTGCACTTTACATGATTGAGTTAACTTTTTGTGGCATTACTGCTGACATCGCCATGGTTTGACCGAGCCTACCTGTTGCTGTGTCATTGACAGCAGCCTATAGATGAGGCTATATTAGACAGGGATGCTTGGCAACTCGGGGACAGGCGAGCTATTCTTAAACCTCTGTTTCTGAATGACGACAGCAATTTGTTAGGTCTAATTATCTGCAAACTTGTTTTGGAGCAGCCGTGTATTTTTACAGCTTTTTATTTTTGGCACGCTGCGCAAAATGAGCCCGCGTCATTTGGATGAAGGCTGATCACATCCCATGACTCCTCAGCAAAGACTGACTGGCTTCTCCTCAAGTTCATCCTTTTCTCCTTCAAGCAACCTGTTGTCTTTACAATCACTTGATCGTTCAGCTTTAAGAGATGACCTCCTTCTTTCTCATTTAAAAGAGAGGCCAGTTGTCATCAAGATCAGCCTCACCCTCTCTTTCCTAGAGCTCATTGGACCTTGCACAACTCTATAAAGTCGTGAAAAACTTTTTTCTCTATTTATGGAAAGATCAAATGTTCAGCTCAAGCCTGAGTGTACTATAGCTATTCTTACTCTATCAAAAATATCAAGGCAATTCAATTATCTCCTGTTAAAATTAGACAAATATTTCCTCACCATTACTCTGGAGGGCTTGGTGGGTGCATGAACTGTCTGACCCTGAAGATGACACACATAGGGTAATGCACATTTATTTATCTGGTGAGTAGGAAAAAAAACATTTGAGCCCTCAACCTGATAGAGAATAATAAGTGTGTCAGAGGTTTTTTTTAACCTCTTTTTAGAAACATGTCGGTTTTCATTTGAAAGGGTAACACTGGGTCACTGACAGTTTATCGATTTTTGGCTATCACACTCTTAAGTCTGTATGTGTGAGGATTTGTATTAGCTCATGTTTTCATGTTTTAGCCGTCAAACACAGTAGTGGACTCAAATGACTGAAACAGTGAGAACAAGGCCGTACACTAGATTGGTTCTGTGCCATTCATAAACCTGCAATAGTGCCGCTGGGTCAGGTTTATCAGTGCTCAATATCAGGTACCACTTAAGGCTTTCTCTTAATTTTATTCTGAAATCAACTAACAAGAAGAGAAGTTTTAAAATATTGATTATTGTTGTTGTATTTAAAAATTTTGAACCTCAGAGAACTGATGGCGTTGACTCCTGTTTGAAGGAGTTAGAGTGATATTGCTGTCTCAAAGATCTGCTTAACAAAAATTGCAAATCAATTAGCTATACTGTACCTTGGCTTATATAGTGGCTCATGTTTACCATTTTTTTTGACACATTTACAGAGTACCATGCTCTGAATGAGTCATGGAAGGAAAACCACTGCAGCAGAACCCCAACCCTCGAGAAATGCCCTACTTGCTTTGCATTTCTCATTCATGCGTATAGTTCACAGCAGCAAAAAACAAAACATCAACGCTGATACATTACCAACTGATAACGTCCATTCACATCAATCTGTCTGCTTATTCACAAGCTTTGGTTTACTACAGTGTACATGCAAACTGTTGTCACAGTGAGGTCCCAGATGATGGTAAGCAGAAGATCCCCATGAGAAGAGCTACTATGTGCCAGTGCTGGGTGTCTGTGCTCAGGTTTTTCCACTGCGTTTCACTGAAGAGCCCTGAGACCCTGGGCAAGCGTGCTGGTTTGGATGCAGCGGCTATAACAAGGCGTTCGGAGATTTCACGATCTGCTCTATAATCATTGAAAGTTCAATTAAATGTAATATTGGCTTTAATATGTCAGTGATGACAGGTCATAAGGTGACTGTGGATAAGATAAGATAAGATAAGATACTCCTTTATTAGTCCCAAGAGGGGAAATTCCCATTTACAGTTCATCCTATCCTATGGAGGGTATCAGGCGGTAGATGGATAGACAGATAGGTAAATGGATGGATGGATGAACGGACGAACAGATGGATGTTAACTTTGTTATTGTAGTTTAGGTAGAGCAGATTATCAGAACAAAAATACAGCACAAGAGAATAAATAACAGTAATATTAGAAAACAAATATATGAATCGGTTCTCCTCAGTGGACATAAAATAATGTACTTAAATAAACTGAATCAATTCAAATAAAATCAAATTTAATATATCTAAAATATGACAGGGAGGTGGATGTTTTAATATGTAAATAAAGTAGTGTTGGTGCACTCTGGGGATGCATATAAAATATCTCTTTCTTGGCTTTTAGGCCTCTAATTAATCTATTGAAAGATGTACAGCTCTATGACTTACTCCACCCGAGGTGTAGCTATATTTACCCATCTTGTCATGGGTTTCAGCAAAGGCTATCTCTGCTGGTGAAAGCTGTCTTTTGGTTTTATCTGAAAGAACAGGAACTGTCTATATAACCCTGAGATTAATATATTTCTATCCTGTTCACGCACATACTGTATGTCCTACTTCCCTATCTTCTGAGCACCAGCGTGTATTGATACAAGGGTCTACTTCTTTACCCTGTTTTATGCAAGATCCAATACGCACTCATATGCAGCTGTTAGTATTGCTGTGTGACTTCTCTCTGCATCAGAGTCATCACATTGCACATCACAGGACTTTATAAGGTAATAAAAAAAGGGCAAAGAGGTAGATTCCTCCAGAAATGCCCCAGATGTCTGTGTGCCAAGCTTATGTTGAGGGACAGCGGGCACTTCAGGGGTCGTGGGAACACAGGCGCCATATCCGCTCAGGCACCATCAGAGGGATGGGGCACTAAATATAGAAAAAAAGTCAAATACATGTCTAGTATTGGGGGGAAAACCATGCAGTGAAAAGTCCTTTGGGCTTTGGAGAGGCATTGCTCGGTCAGGTCAGAGGACTGATAGTGGAGTGTAAAATGGAAATAATGTATACACTGAGCCATTTTATGTAGGCACTTGTGTATTTAGTGTCACTGCATGTCCAAGTCCCCTGAATGTCACATTTCTCCATAGTATGCAGCTCCATACAGTCCAACAGGGCAGCAACGAGAACAGGGGTTTTCTAAACGCAGAAAAAAAGGAAAACAGCGGGTGTGGGTTTCAAAAATGGATGTTCTCAAGCTAACCGCAATCCATCCATGCCATTTCCCTCTGCCGCTCAAAATTCAGTTTTTTTTTCTCTGCCCTGGCTGTGCATGAGAGAGGAGTGGGTGGCTTTTAGCGTAAGCCATTTTTCTAAAACACACCGTTTTCCTCCTTCTGTTTGGTTTGAGCTCTTGCCTGCTGAACCTTTAAAAGGAGCGATCAGCAGTATTTTTAACCCTGTCTCTCGGGGCTGTGTGGTGCAGAGGAACACTGCGCTGCTGGCCCTGGGGTAACCCAGACTGTGGGTGTCAGACTGTGTGGACTGCTGGCCCGGCAAGAGCCGCTCTAACTTTAGACCACATCGCCTCATGCTAGTAAAAATAAACACCCTGCCCAAACCAAAGGGGGAAGGAACTTGAGTCACTTACACCAAATGGTTGATATTTTCCCACCAGAATTACCAGACCAGCTACTGAATATTTGAATTGTTTCACATTAAAGTAAGCCTTAGTTACTATCAGTTCTCTGGCCACACAACTGATACTTTTCTTGAAAATATCCACACAAACACTTGAGTTATTGTCACATGTTATTCACAGTTATCACTGCAGACTTGTTTTACTGCGAATAATGAAAATATATTGTGTTTTGCTTTTGCTATAATGTCTTTTTTCTTCCTTTCACAGACTGCAAGACGGCTGTAAAAATGGGAAGAAAGAAAATACAAATTTCTCGTATACTGGATCAGAGGAACAGACAAGTGAGTCCACATACCAAATTTTATAAAAACTACATCTTTATTCACATGCAAATTCTTCTTTTCTTTTTTATAAAGTGCTGCTTTACCCAGTGTTTCTTAAATGACAGTCAACAATTTCCTCAATACAGTAGTAATTTTTAGATGAAACTGCCCAATCGTTTGGTTCTCTACTCAGAGGAATTAATTTTTTGCATTTAACTGTATGTGAACCTGTATGTCTGGCTTTTAGTCAGTTGGCTTGAGAAACAATTTGAACTCATCACTCACAGCTTTGTACACTTCAGATGACTTCTTCAAGGCTGCTTTTGACATTTTTTTGGACACTCTTTTTTAGTAACAGCCTGCCGCACTTCTGCGGTGCGGTAGAGTAATGCATGAGAGTGCAGGACATGCAGTAGAAGATAGACTGCACATATGTACATAAGGCTTAATGGTAAAACAACCCAGAATATAATGATAGTGCTAATTTGGATATGAGTATTAAGCATTTTCTGCTCTAAGATGTTGCAGTGAGAAGTTGCTCATATGTGTGTGCAGGACTTTAGAGGGAATTTCACCTAATGGTAAAAAAAAGACAATATGATAAAAGTCATGTTAAGGTAGGGCACATATGCGTTACTTTCCGTCATTTTTGTGAGGAGTTTGTAGGTTTAAATGCTTTGTTTGGTGAATTTGAGACTCATATGTGACGTAAAATCTCTCTGTCAGAGCTGGAAGCTTAAAATAACAACCAGCTGCTGCATATTTAATAAAATCTATAAGGTCTAAATGAGACAGATACGTATTATTTAATGCCAAGAGAGTGCACCCACGCTGTGTCAATAAGAAAAAAGAAACTGAGCTCTTTAAAAGGAAGAAATAAAAGGAAACATTCAACAGCAAAAGTCATTTATGATTTATTCCCAGCCTGTTAATAACTGGATATTATATAAGCTTTTAAGTAATGTTGTCAACGCTGACACTAGCATAAAATATCTCGTATAGCACTCAGAAATTAGAAACTAAAATATTAGAAAAAAGAAAAAACACTCGTCTATACTCACTCGCAAAGATTTGTATCTCTTGTATTATTTTTGAGCTGAATAGTTTTTGCAATGTGGTTTGTGTTTTAGAAGTTTGTCCTTATCTGAAAAAAGGTGCGAGGACAGACAGTATCAAATTTAACCAGGGCTGCCCCCAGTAATCTAGGTTTGTTTAACATAACTAACGGACGAACTAAATGCTGCCTCAGTGTATTTTATTGACAGGCTAAATATTTATTACTATTGTAAAATACCCACAATTTTCTCAGGTATAAGACACAAATAATGTACAAGAACATATCGATTTGTTTTCTGTTCACTGTGTAGAACCGTTTTATTTTGAATATTATTATTATTATTTTGTTGTTGCTTACATATTCTCTTTTTAAACATTTTCTGTTCAGGTCTAAGTTCACTTTTTTTCTTATAATTATATGTTCACTGTGTGCATGATCAATATACTTACTCTTCTATGTTTGCTGAGCTGACCCTTTGCCCCGTAACACTGCAAATTTCCCCACTGTGGGATAAATAAAGGTCTATCTTAACTTATCTCATCTAACTTATCTTAAATGGTGTGCAGATTGCAAAGCCTGATAAGGCAATCTTGGGTTTGGGCTCACTGTCACAAACATCACTGATATTACTGTCAGTAATTTTTTAATCATATTTTTTTAAACCATAGAATTTGTGTAAAATTTTTAAAGACTAGAATTAAACCATTTGCTTTCTTTTTCTATGATATAAAACTCATTATAACAAAATGAATTCAAGATAAGTAAAAATGAATTCATGTTCATGTTGCAAATTCTGCCCAAATCTTATTCCCATCATACACTGCAACAGTCTTTTTCATCCATGTTAAGCTTTAGGTTAATTATATTTGTTATTAAGTATACCTTCTGTTTTCAGGTGACTTTCACAAAACGCAAGTTCGGTCTGATGAAGAAGGCGTATGAGCTGAGCGTATTGTGTGACTGTGAGATCGCCCTGATCATCTTCAACAGCACCAACCGTCTGTTCCAGTACGCCAGCACAGACATGGACAAAGTGCTGCTCAAGTATACAGAGTACAGCGAGCCACACGAGAGTCGCACCAACACAGACATACTGGAGGTAATGGTGGAGTTACTATTCACAGAGAATGACAGAGTAGTGGAAACTCGTCTCAGAGCAGGATGCATAAAGCAAGAATTGGTGTCAGACTTTTACTAAAAAAAATAATGTAAAATGCCGTATATTGGATGAAAAACATTAACTTGTAATTCTTGCTCCTGTTGCTTTCACTGCGGCTTGTGTTCCTAATGTACCATCGGATCTGTACCAGACTCTGCGTAGGAAGGGCCTCGGCCTCGACAACTCTGAGCTGGACAGTGAGGAGAGCATGCAGGTGGCTGCAGACAAGTATCCTCTCAGTGAAGGCATGGATCTCTCTGTGGCTCGCCAGCGCTTCTATGTCAGTACACATACTCTGCATACCTTTTCCACACACACAGGCATTAACAATAACACATACTGTACCTCTGACAAGCCCGGATGTATTCTCCTTATTTTAACCATTTGAATGAACTGAAATTGCTCAAAATGACTGGAATAAAAATCATAATTCTTTATTGATATTTTTATTTACCCTTTCACTGATGTTGGACATTCATTATGATGCTGTTCTCATACTCATATTTCACTCTTCAGGCTCCATCGTTCCTCCCACCAGAGGCCCAGTTCCTGATGTCTGCAGGTTGTGAGAACGGCTTCCCAAACTCTTCTGGGTCCAGCATGGTGTCCCACAGACCTCCAGGCTTTAAATCCCTCAATGCCAGACCTGGTTCTGTTAGCCCGGCTGCACCTCACGCACACACTGCCTTCATGTCTCCTCACTCTGGTGAGCTGAAGTGGCTAGACTTACTGTCTGAAATATTGCATGAATCCTTCATATTCTTAAGTAAAAGAAAGTAAAAGTAACTACAAGTGTTTTCAAAATGCATGTAGATTAAAGACTAATGAAAGACAAAAGATCTAATGTATTTTAGTGCATGGTATACTGAATAACTTATTCAAACAATGAGTGTTAACAAAATGCTCATTTCTGAAAAAGTGTGATTTTTTTTTTTACAGTTTTTTTTACACCATGTAAACTGAAGAATTTATTCCAAAACTAATGCACACTAGATAAAAACAACACAGCTGTTAGATGGAAGAAAGTGAGAAATTTATGTATGAATTTCATTTTTACCATGTGCTTGAAATTTTGAGCATTTTACGATTCGTTTACCTTTTCCACATAGATGCAAAATGTTTAACATGCAAATCCTCTGAATACCCTCAGAGCGTCTTGCTGAATGCTTGCTGTCATCCCTCAGTGCAGCTGGCTGTGAACTCACAGGAAATGTGTGTTCGTGCATGTGTGTGCTGTGATCCACACATGCTTTGGGTTTGTTTTGTGAAACTGGCCCTCCATCAGTGAAACAGCGGCTGTAACCACTTGTGTGGTTTCTGTACAGAATGTGTCACACCTGCCAGACATGAAGCCGCCCAGTCTTCTACTATACAAGTGTACCGTAGATTTATTAGATACTAGGGTCTCTAGTGCTTTATAAATGGTTAATAATTCACACTTTTGGTCAGATTAGGTTGACAGATTTTTTTAATACGCAAGAATGAAGTACAAACATAAACATGAACTCAGCTGCTATTAAGCCCAGAAGGAGGAGAGACAAAGTCAAAGGTCAAATAAAAGGAGAAGTGTCTTTGCCATAGTTGTAAACAGAAACAGAGAGAGGTACAGAATCGATCATAGGGCAAATTCTTCTCTTGTGAGTGAAATAAGCTCACGTCTCTTCTCACTTCCTGCTCCTTGCTTTCACTGTGTAGGTATCGGCTACTCTGTCTTCTCCCATGGCAGCTTGAACCGGGCTCTGGACATAAAAAGCCCACCTCCCTTGAACTTGGGCGCCGAGAACCTGCGGGGTGATGCTGGTCAAAGCATGGGGGCCGCACGCGCTAACCACAGCTCTGCTGTAAGTGACCGTTATTATTCAGTGTAATTTATCACATCTGTAAATCTAACACATAACTGCTAACAGAACTCAACTGCACTTCTGGTTGTTAAGACAACAAGTATGAATTTTGCAGCATGTGTGCACTAACACCAATGTTTAACTCAAGTCTTGACTTGCTTGACAGAGGGGGGTATTATACCAGGGCCTGCATGGAAGCAGCTCCATGATGGCCATGGGCAAAGCAGGGCTGCTGAGTCAAAGTTTGGGGGGTTATGGACTCACCGCTCCCGGAGCCCCTGGTATGTATGCTGTGCACAATCTGCTCTATAATAAATGAGGACAAACAGAGAAAAATAAGAATCAAAAAGGATTTAATCCAATCAGAATATAAGCTGTCGTTTAGCACACCTAGCTTAGGTGTTCATTTGCTTTCTTGTGGGTCACATTTGATTTATAATTTAGGGTTGAAGTTATGTTATAAATGTGTTAGCTGAGGAAAAAAATACCACTTACACAGTGACAATAGAGCAGCAGTGACAGTACGGCTAAGTGTCTTCCGATAACTAGTAAGGACACGGCTTGCGGCTAGCTTGTAGCTAGCTGCTATGTATTATTTTAGGGCTGCAACATATTCTAGCTCCAACATGCTCACTCTCAGTCACCTGTCTTATATGTAAAAAATGTACCTGATGAAAGCTCAGTACAGAAAAACCGCCAGTAATACTCTGACCATGTATTAGCTAACATGATGCAGCTACACCAGAGCACAAGTATAAATAAATAACCTCAGCGGAGTAGGAAACAGACATTGGCTACGTTGAAGGGTCTGTGTAATTTAAATACACAAGTTTAGGCCGAGCTGTAGATGTGAGGATTAATACAACCCATGTATCTGTCTGTTTAAATATAGCTACGGCAAGCGGCTAGTTAGTTTAGCATAGCACAAAAAATAAGAGCGCGGGGCAGCAGCTAGCAATACTCTGTGAACAAAATCTACATCAGAAAAAAGGTCCATGCCAATGTGGTGTTATCAGCGGCTTGTGCTGAGTTATTTTTTGTCTTTGCTCGACACTAAAGCAGCCAAGGATCTCTGTTGGTCACTTAATTTCAGGGTGAGGTTAAATTGGAGGAAGTGAGCAAAGAAAAAACAAACAAACACTGCGAAAAGGTAGACTTGCAGTGGTTCAAAATTCCAGGGGTTTAACACCCAACATAAACATGTTAATTGGTGAGCTGGGACTGAACTAGGAAGGTAAGACCACGCTGAAAGTTTCACCCTGTTTTTGGTTTTTAAAGCTCCCGTGAGGTACTTTGGACAAAGCATTTGTCACTATAGACACGAAAATGTTGCCCATCTACAAATTCTCCAGATGTCGATGCTATCCTGTTGTAGTGAGCTAGCATTTTTTGAGATGATTTATTTCAAAGTTTTCAATTTTGTGTTTTTTGACTGTTTTGGAATGTCTCTTTTTTTCTGCCAGAATACGGCCAACCTGGTTTTTATCATTCTGTTAGTCTACAAAGAGGAGCAATGAACCCCTGGCACCCAGCACAGCCACCTCAAGAGCCCCATATAAACCCAGGGTATGAATAAGAATGTGTATTGTGATACCTTTGTGTGAATTTAAAAAAGAAAAGATAGTTACCAGTATGTTGTTACAAATATGGTTTCAGCCTTAAATTAAAAACAGAAGATGTCAAGAAAAAAATGGAAGGAAAATAGCCACTTTTTTTACAAGATGCACTGAAAATGTAGTGACGACTATGATCAATAAAGAAAAAATATGAATGAATAAACTATTCAAAATATAATTTATGCAAGAAGATAGATAAAGGAGAAAAAATAATAAAAAAGATGAAAGATCAGATTAAGATAAATAAGAAATTCACAGGTAAATAAATGTATATTTGTATATAATGTATATAATTTTTTTTATGAATATGGAGACACATTTTGCTTGTTCAATATTATTACTAGTATCATTATTATTATATTTATTTATTTTATATTTTTATTTATTTTTACAGTTATCATTTTTTAAAGGTTACATTTAAAAAACTGACATCGCTTTTGCCCTCTCCCTTGTTGTTCTCCAGGATGTCCACTGGAGGGTGCTCCTTTCCCTCTCAGTCCTGCTCCTCAACCTCTCCACATCTGCCCTCTCTAAACCTCAGCATTAAATCCGAGCGTAGCTCTCCGGAGCACATGTCATCCCCAACCTCTCCTCCTCTGCACCACCTCAGGCAGCACTCTCCAATGAGCAACCCCGATTCTGCTCGCCACAGTCCTCCAGACGGCTGTCCAGCCAATGAGACGAAGGAGTTTCCCAAAGCAGGATACCCACAAGACGCGGAGGAAGGAGGGCAGCCGCTCAGGCAGCTAGAGATAAGTGATGGGTGGCAGAGATAGCTGGCTCCTGCAGTCCAACAGCATCTTCCATTTAATCAGCCATCCTCCATCAAGTCTTCTCTTACACACACACACACACACACACACACACACACACACACACACACACACACACACACACACACACACACACACACACACACACACACACACACACACACACACACACACACACACACACACACACACACAAAGATAGAAACCAGAAGATAGCAAGATGGTGTGCATTTGTCCCCATCCTGCCAGAGAGGACTCCTCTCTCCTCACACAGAGCTGGTCTCTTCCCCCGAGCCACTGAGAGTTTTCTCTGCATCACCCGGTTGATCCCGTGAGGAGACATATGTAAACAGACTTTTGCTTTTTGTTTAGTTAGCTATTTTTATTTTCTGTGTGGAGCTTATACGAGTTAGAAATACAATCTGAAAGTTGTTTATTTTGTTCTGTGACTTTGTTGAAGGTAGCTACAGTAGCATGCGGGACCAGCTGAGTATATTTGTAAAGAAAACTGCAGTACCCCCTCAACATGAAGCCCAACACCAGTGACCTGGGACATTTCAATAGATCATTTCATTTATTTCAGTCACTTTTTGTAGAATAGCCTCTTTCTAAATGCAATCCTTATACAGTCCATCCCTCTGTTCAAAAAGATTAGGTTTGAATTCATCACTTACACATTTGTTCCGATCATTTGAGATAGTTTAAATTTGGCTGTGGTGGCTTCATCGAAAAGTGAAGAAACTTTACCATAGAAGTTTATACTAAAACGTAAAGTCTATGATGTGATTTATCAGAGACTGCACTGTTGCTCCACATAAATTCAAGGATGTACTTCCACACAGGATGAGGCCTCGAATGGCTCCGTTTTCTCCTGTACATTGGTGCATTTCCAGTTAGGAGGAATGATTTCCCTAAACTAGTGCCCTAATGTTTAAAAATCTGAAAATTGTGTCCTCTTGGATGCCTTTCTTTTTGATTAAAAAATATAAAAAGCCTCCTCAGTTGTCCTTAAAGTAGATAAAACAACAACAAAAAATTCCTTCATGGTATCTTATTATTTGTGTTTGGCTTTCAGGTTTGTTTGATACTACAAAAGACTTGATTTGTTTAATAAGCAAACAGAACCCAATTTTTTGGTTTTCTGTTTGAGTTACATTAAATTGCTGAGTTTTAAAATAGCCACGTGAAAAGTGACAGATTAAATCTGGCTTGAATGTGTGCTTCATGAAGGATTGGATTGGATTTAATTATATATAATTCTATATTTTTTTTCTGTTTTCCTTTTAGGTAATTGAATTTCAACCTCAGGTTCTCACAAAAAATATTTAACCAATTTAACCTGCCTATTCTTGATTAACAGGCTACAACCAAGCCTTTTGTGCAACTACCCAACAATTACAGAACAACATATAGAGAATGAAAGAGTTTTAAAGTCTCCTCAAAATACTACCAAAGCAGTTCATCAATCACAACTATCTGGGCAGGGTGCCCCACAGTAAACAGCTGGTGCCTTTTTTGGGCCTCTGCCCCTCAAATAGCCTGAGTACACCACTGCTGGAGTCCCATTTGTTAAAAGATTTCAACTCAGTATATCCATTACAAACAATTCCAACAGAGCCGACAGCTGATGTTCATGTCAAATATTTTTGGAAGTTTAGTGTTAGTTTTAAAATAAACTCAAATTAATGTGAACTTTTCCTTTCAAAGTTGTCAGAAGTTGAACATAGTTTAAAAAATTGCTTGTTCTGTACTACTTAGTAAGACTGTCAGTTTGGATAAGCTAAGCTTCAGTTGTATAATTCCTTCTAAAATGAGTCCTCTTCAAAATATTTTATTGTAATTGATCAATACAAAAACTTAAACCAGTTCATTTCGCCTAAAGACCAAAGTGTTTCAGTGTTGTCCCTATGCATTACAATGAAATACTTCAAGAGCCAAAGATATTAAGTGTTTGTTAATATTGGGTAAAACTGTTAAATTTTCAGGTAAATGATTTTATTTTCTAAAAGGGCTTCATTTGTTAATGCAGGTTATAGATGTAAAGCTCAACTGCCATCATTATCTGATCTTTGGAGATGTAACTGTAACGACAGAGTTGAAATATGCATTCGATATTTTTCATAAAAGGCTTATGTTTGGTTTTATTTCTGCAAATATTCTTTGGACTGTACTTATGTGCACTGGATTTCTTTTCTTCTTCAATAAAAAAAAATGACCAGAAGTTATTTTTAAAATATTCCACACATTGCCCACAAGGGGGCATGTTATTCTCAAAATTTGGACATGGGTATGAGAGAGAAAGTGCAAAACAGAGATGACCAAGTTCAACTATTGACGATTAATTGTGAATTCCTGTGACGGGACACAGGTTCAGGGGTTCACCCTGAAAACATTTATCATATAAATCATAAAATACTCTGAGCCAGCAGGTGGAGGTCTTTAAGTTCAAGTGCTGCTGTGGGATTGGTACTTTTTTGATTTCCTTTGTAGTCATGTAGATTCATATCAGCATCAAAACCAAATTGTCAGTATTCTGATGTTTTGGGTTGACTTTTGTTGTTTGCTAAATGCTTCACTAACAGAACAAAGAAGGATTTTTATTTGATATTTGTTGTGATTTCTTTAAATAAAAACAGTTTAATTTGTACGTTTGTCTATAACTGTTTTCCTTCTTCAACATACATTTAGTTTGTCATTTTTGTCAGACAAGTATATGAATCTGTAGCTTCTTTTTCATGCGTATTCATTTCAATACAAAGTCTCCTCTCTTCATGCACATTCAGTCTGAAGACGGTTAAAACGCCATCCTCTGTAGAGCTATCAAGCCTTCATGTGTCCATTTATTCACCTTTTGAATGCACACACTCCATCATTATCGTGTCGGGACCCTGCCAAGCAGCTCACCACGCAGCCACCAAAACACAGAACAATAATAGAGCACTTAAAGGCCCAGAGACATTTATGGTAAAAGAAAACACATCCAGGACAAAAAGGCTCATCCACACAGCTGGTCGTCTCACAGTTTCTGAGCTACAGCCTCCTCTTTTTCTACCACGATGGAGCATTTTAACTATGCACAGAGTCGGGCCCTGGTCCCCCTATGTCACCTCTCCTCCCTAAATGAAAAGAGACTGACTGGGGTCATGTCTGGTCTGCTCCCCTGGGACCAAGCTGGCCCAGTCTGTGTCTGGGCCCTATACACACCATTTTGAGTTCCTATAGCAACCACAGCCCTGCAGTTCACAGATCAGACTAAAGGGGGGCCCGAGGCCTTCAGTACAGACAAATATAGTTAATGTGGTTATATAGAAATGTAACCTGGTCACCTCTCAGCTCATTATGCTGGACTTTCTCACAGACCTGCTGCAGAGTCAGACTACATCAGACCCAGACTGATCATGCAAGGTGAGGAAGTGCGTTTAAAATGTCAAATGTAAAAATCATGCTGATACACAAAATCTGAAGTGGCTGTCCCTCCGTATATTACAGAGCCTTTGTGGCTTTTGACAGGACATAGAAGTCAAATGATATCACCAATAAATGATGTCTGCTTTCAAACAAAAGGACTTTCCAATCCTGACTATGGTAAGAGGTCATGATTCTTAACTATTTTTGCACGACTGATATTTAAGTCTAAAAGACTTCATCTGTGGCAAACAGCTTGTAAATAGTTTTCATTTTTTGAGAGAGCAACACAGGGAGAATGTTGCAGTTTTTTAAAGGAAGTAAATCAGTTCCTCAGGCCAAGTTAGGCACTTAGAGACATTTCCTCCCAGACTCTCGAGGAGCACTGGGTTCATAGTAATTATCAGCGATTAAACAATCATCTTCTCAGGAGGTTGAGGGTCAGAGATCAAGACCCAGCGCAGCGGCGAGACACTCCATTGTCATGCATGATGTCTTTTGTCAACTGCAGCAGAGATTTTTCTTTAGAGAAATGTTTTATCAGCGCTATCTCCCACGCTCCTGAAGGCTGAGCAGAAATAAGTGACATCAAACTGACATGAGACTGAAAATAAATGTTTTAATGAGCCACTCACACAAACACACTCAAATCAAATTAAGGTTTCAAAGTTAGAAACATCATGCCTTCAAAAAAAAAAATCTCAAAAAGCAATGTTTTCACATGAACTTCACAGTGAAATGACGTCAGAGCATTCAAATCAAATGTCCTATCTAAAAACCACAGCAAAAACTCAACAGAGAAATGCAGCATCAGTTCTGTTTCTAAAGAACAAATTCATCAGTGTATCATAAATAAAATCCACAGATGCAACAATGGGCTTGAATTTATCTTACATGTACAAGACTGATATGCTATAAAAAAAAATGCAAGAACAAATAAATGCTGTAAATAAAAAGTTATTTGAGACACTGGAACTAAAAATGATCCCAGCGAGTAGTGTTTAAAACTAACAGGAAAACTGAAATAGGTTCGGAGTCACCATTTAATCCTTCAAAAGTTTTCATTCAGTCTAAATACTTTTTTTTTTTTGTTATCAGGTTGAAATGAGTTTTTCAAAGTTGACTTAAAATCTCTCAGCTTTCAGGCACTTCGGTATTCTGTAGGAAAACACAATAAAAGCAGTAGCACTCCAGTTCTGGGCTAACACACAACCTCAGTTCTGGTTCATGTTCAGCTGTTTCCGTAAGATGGTCTCAGCTTTACCATTTCTATGCAATCAAAATATTACAGCAGAAAAATACAACAAAACCATTTAGCACTCTTGAATCGGTTCCTTTTGGGGGACTCAAAGTCCCACACAAAAATAAGACAACTTATTCGGACAGGGGTCAAGCACGAGTACTCAACCCCGGTACCAGTTAAATATCTTACATACAGTATATGCAGCATATAACAGTGTTCTATAAAGAACAGTTCAGGTAACACTCGTATTGATACATCTAAAAGGTGCAGAAGGAAAGGATCTGCTGAAGAGCTGGAAGACAACTGCAGCACTGTATCACAAAGCATGATGGTTGGTGTAGCTGTCCATCTTTGGTCTTACACTTTGAATCTGTGTGAAGGAGCTGGGCCACTTCTGATAGAGGCTGATGATGATGATGGTGGCTTATGATGCACCCTGGGGGGGCAGATCAAATCCTGCAAACGGCTGACAACTTGCAAACAGCTTATTTAAATAACTTAAGGGATTTTTTTTCAGACTGATTACCACGTTAACAGTCAACGAAAGACGATCATACTTTCATTTCATTCCAGTCAAAGTCATTTAGTCTGGCTGAACTAATCAGGCATTTTCTTACCCTTTTCAATACGATTGTACTTAACATACAACAAACAATTTCCCAGATACTCAGTAAAGATAAAATGTTCATAATAAGTGTGATTTGGTTACAAATATTTCAACTCACTGATGATAAATACATTTTCTAGTGAGTATCATTATGTCCTATCAAGAAATTGACTATTTTTTTCAATGTTAACTTCAAAGCGTTATTTAATAATCTACTTATTTAAGTAAATGCATCAGTAGCTGGATCAGTACCTAATGATAACCAGCTTGGTACCAGTCATCAAGGATTGTTGATATCATAAAACTCAAAAAGAGCCAGCATAAGTTAAAAGTGCTTTGTGATACAGAGTCCAGCTCTCTCTGTCATTTGTGTTATTGATACCAGGAGCCTGCTGATCATTCAAAGTCATATGAGCAAGAAAGTAGCCAGTAATGCAACCGACAGCATCAGTCGCCCATCTAACTCCCAATGAACCTTGCTCAGAGCCTCTGTTGCAGAAAGACCGGGGTGCACTGTCTGTAGTTGTGTTTTAGTGAAAAGTCTCCTTTGCTGCCTGCAGCTTTCCTCTGCAACAGCATAAGAACAGCCGAGGCAGGGGCCACACTGCAGGTAGAACAGTACAGCACTGTGTTTTCACACTTAGTTCTGCATAAGGTACTGGTGGAAGTAGATGCCAAACAGAGAGCTGATGACCTGGCAGGCCGCCACCCACCATGTGAGGAAGGCGAAGAAACCTCTGAAGAAAAGAGGAGTGAGGACAGAGCGCAGCGCTGTGAAGGCCTCTGACAGGCGTGCTACTGTGGCCTGAATGTCCTCCTCCATGTCCTCCATCCCTTCTTCATCTTCATCCAGACTGTTAGGCAGCACAGGTGCTGCTGTGGGTAAAACCAACGCTGGTGTCACTCCAGGAGCGTCCTCGTCACCAGACCCCCAGGAGAAATCCCCTGCAAGTCAAGCAATATTTACAACCTAGCGCAAAAAAACAACAACAGCAAAAATCCAACTGCAAGCTAAAACAAACTAACAAGTTGAGTATTTCTTGTTTACTCAGTACCACATTACTGCACACAAGGTTGTGGTCTTGTTTAATTTTTGCCTGATGCAGAAGCGGTTTCATGGTTCTTGCCTGCTCCTGGCTGTAGTTTCACAGATATGACAGATCTAGAGTTAGATGCTTATGTAACCTTTTAAATTACTCTTTTAAGTATAAATTTGAATGCTTAAGACAAAAAAAACTTGAAGGCTAATTTTCAAAGCATTAACTGTGGTGGTGGTGGGAGCATTTTATTTACCTAGAGCCTTCAGTGCCAGCGTGGAGAAGAGGATGAGAAGAACAGGAACCAGATACTGGAGAGTAACTACAGTCAGGTAGCAAAAGATGCGTGTCACCTAAAAAAAACAGCACACAAAGTTTTATTTTACACTTCAAATACAGTTAGTATGGTTTACCTTTCCACTGCCCAGGGAATTAACTCTTAGAGAGGGGGTATTATACACTTTTTTAGACTCTACACATCCTCTCTGATACTTCTTTAATAGCTTTAGATGACTTTCAGATCAAAAAAGCCTTGTGTTTCTCGCTCTGTTATATTAAAATACCATCTGAAACGCTTAGTTTTAGCTACTGTCTCTCCCTAATCTCTACTATGAGGTTTGAAAATTCGCATTAATACATTAAGTACACTAAACATTCTAACTTCGCGATTTTTGTTGTAAATATGGAAAAAGCGTAATACCCCCTCTTTAAAGTAGAAACAAAAATCCTGAATTCAAAAGTTCCACGTTAAAATTCCACTCTTTATCTGACCTTCCTCTGAATGTCAATCGCAGCAATACGCCCCGCCTCCTTCTTCATTTGCTCCACCCACTTCTGAGCCAGGTTGAGATACGCCTGCAGGTGGTAACGAGTAAGTCCTAGCCGCAGCACACACAACGCAACTATGATCCACAGGCGCATGCTGTCGAATGCTGCACTGGAAACTCTGCACAGAGAGATGATGAGGGGAATAAGAAAAAGTCAGGACAGGACTTTTGGAAACTTTGTATAGTTGGTGATTGTTTCTGTCTTAAAAATGTAATGTAAAGTTAAAGCAGATGAAATCAGAAAATGCAAATGTGCACATACAATGTGACTGAGGTCTTTCCCATTGGTGCATTTGCCAGGAAGTCTCTTGCGATAGGTTTCACCCATAGAACCAACACAATGACTGGAGATAGGAAACTCATGTGCAGCAGAATCCTGTAAGAAATATTTTGGACATCTTAAAATCTCTGAAGCAACTCTTAATATGTAAGAAGCCCATTACTCCTTTAATAATTTGGAGTATCCAATCTTACTGGATGAGGGGTCTGTCTGAGTTCATCTGCACAGCATCAAGATGAGTCTGAGCCAGGCGCAGGCCAGGGAAAGCGAGGAGAGCTCCAATGTAAGCGCAAACAGCAGCAAGGCCCAGCTTCACTGTCAGCTTTGTGACTGGGATTCTAAAAGGAGATAAAAGAGCAGAAAAGCATTTATCTCCGTCTGACACAGAAATGTCAAAACAAAAACACTGGGCAACAAATTAAGAATCTAGTTCTTGCATAAACACTTACGACCAATCAGCGTAGCCCTGCTGTTTGGCGAAAATTTCCAAGTTGTCAAAGAGGCTTGAAAAGCCAGACTCCAGGCCGAACTCCAGATAGTCCTCTCTCACCACCAGCACCAGCATGGCCACGAGCAGAAACAGAAAACCAAAGGCAAGGCACACAGAGCGCTCTCCGCCCTCTTCAGAGCGGAAGTAGTGGCTCATCAGCGTGTGAAGGGCTTTTCTGAGGGTTAGCAGTTAAATCAAAACAACCAAGAGAGGAAAAAAGTAGCATTCATTTTGCAAGAGACTCTTCCATGGCTAATGGATGCAACTAATCTAATCACAATGTTAAAAGTTTGAGTTACCTTTTTACAAGTGATCATCCTGAAATCAAGAGGTTACCATTTTCAGACATGACTAGCTGCTTTATAAATTGATGAATTTAATTTTTTTAATCAACATAATACTAACTGGTTTAGTCTTGAAGAGAAAATTGAAGATCACCTAACATAGATGTTTCACCTTGTACAGCATAGGACCCTTATGAGGAGCAACTCCATAGGAGTCCCTGTTCCTGAGGGGACAGATTTCTATAGATGACGATCGTAAATGGATCCATTTGATCTTAAACCTTAAAGCTAACTTATCATGCAAAGTCAGAAACTGAAGCTACAAAACTATTTTGTGTTGTGGAATGAATCAGGATTGATGCTTACAGAAAGGATACAGACCAAAAAGCACTGTCAGCACACACCAGATGGCTCCAATATTAACCTCCTTTCTGGCGTCTACGACACTGTAGTAACACTCAGTGAACAGGAAGACGCCTGATGCATAAACTGCAAAATCTATCAGCCACTGGTACTCCAGGAAAAAACGAAGCACTGTAAACAAAAACAAGATAAAACATTAGATTACCTCTTATACGGTATTCATTCCTAGCCAATATTGTGTTTTACAAACTTCAATCTTGGCATAAATGAAAGAAAAGTTAGTATTACCAAGAGCATCAACGGCGTTGACAGGAGCTTTCTCCAAGTGAAGGTCGATGTCTTTGGGTACGGTAAGAGGCTTGTTCTCCCCATTCTGTCTCCTAAAAATTTTTTTTTTTTTAAAGAAAAAGAAAAATTATATGCTTATCTTAAAATAACTCCAGATATTGACTGCAACCTCTGATTTGGACTGTAGCTTTATGGCATTCTTTGCTTCTTAACCCTTTCATTATGTTGTGTTTGTCTGAGTATCATGGGTTCCTGGGTAGTTTCAGCATTGCCTTTGACATCTTTGAAGGCATATTTGTTTCCCTGATCCAAAACCTGCTTTTTCCTACAGGCACGTGTTCCTGTGATACTCAAAGTAAAGTAGGTTTGGGTAGATTTGATAGCTGCATGTAGGCAAATAGGGTCAGTAAGAGTGGTCCTGGAATTTGCACGCTATCTTTATTTAGTGCAGTGGTTTTAAATAAATATCACAAAGTAGTAATCTTAAGTGAATTCATATGGTGATAAGAAATACTTTAGTCGGCTGGTCATTTTTACTAACTCAAAATAGGCCATACTTTTGTTCTCTCTCCTGAAGCTGTTATTGTGCCAAAGACCCTGAGTCTTAATCAGGGAAGACTCACATGCTCCAGGAATGGGTGGAAAATAAACTAAATTTACAGTTTATGTATATTTTTAAGAATTTTTTGTTCATGAATGCCTAATTTCAATTATTTTGTTGCATTTTTATATGGTCCCCCTCATGGCACTTTTTTCCCCCGGCGATAGTGATGGTGTTACTAATTTTAGCGATAGTGTCCTAGGGTTAAGTAGAGCTTGAGTATCAAACACAGATTCTCTCTTTACGCTGAATTACTTTGTTTATCTTCCCCACTGTGTCAGATCACCTTCCCCCAACTCCCACCTGTCTCTTCTGCTCTGTTTGGGCATCTGTTTCCCGGCCAGTGCACACAGCTCTCCCTCTGAGGGGTGTTTAAACCGGAACAAACTGGAAATGAAAGACACGGGTTAAACACAGCACAAGAAAGCCCGTGTATAAAACATAACCTGACTGCAAGGGTGCCAGTACCTGCCATTACACAGGAGCCAGCGAGCAAAGGAGCAATGCGGAGCCATCCTCTGCATAATGCTGGCAGCCAGCAGGCTGACCACCAGCTGAATCCCCATCAGTGCCTGTCAGAGCAAACACACACTTTAGAAACCCCCTCATCTTTGGCATGACAATAGACAGTAGAAAAATCCATCAAAGAAGGTCATTGCTTATGCCTAAATCTGTGACAGTGAGAATAGTGAGCATATCAAACGGACTAGAGATACAAGACTCTGGGTTTTACTACAGCAGTGGTTAATTTGTCCTGGGTCAGAGCTCGCTGAAGAAGCTAAACCACATACTATGACAAAATTATGCGACTCAGTACTTTTCACCGCCCTCAACACGGACTACACTGAAAGCCCTTGCGAAATGAATGAAAGTTAGCAAATGGCTAGCGTGCTAAATTTAGCTAAACTTCACCACCTGTCAGTGCTGCAGCCGTTACTAGCATGTTAGCATAACCAACCAGCTCTCATGGCAACGTTAACCTACAAAAGGAGAAGAGCTGGCAGGGAAATATTAAAGCAAATCTTTACACTGGTAAGTACATGTCATTGACTTAAGTTACCATGTCTTCCCTCGAAAGCCGTGGTTAAAACCAGAGAAGCTGTCGGACCTTCTTCTTCTTCTTCTTCACATGTAGGAAAGTCTTAACAGCTGAACCAACTGACATGTGAAACTGCTGAATGGCCCGGATGTGCTACTAGCCATGGAGTCTCGTGCTGCATTCAAGTACTACATGAAAGCTTCGTAAATTCACAGCACGACAACTGACACCACTGTACCTTCATTTGGGTAATAAAGGGGAAGTAACGTTGGGGTTTCCATTTTTATTTTATTTCCAGAAGTTCTATTTTCTTTCACTTTTTTCTTTTCTTTTCTTTTTTATTTTGCTGCCTCCTTTGTGTAAGACCGAGGCTCATATGCATCTCAATGAAATAGAGGATCATTAAGTTGATTTATAGCAGTAATTCAGTTCAAAAATACCTATATATAACATGCAACTGCCAAAGCAAGTGACTTTCTTTCTAAATTTATGCCAGACTCGTTTTGTTGCTAGATAAAATAAAAAAGTGCAATGATGATATTACATTGCCTTTTGTGATGTAGTTAGATTCACACTTGGACCATAAACTCACTTACAGGGACTTGGATTGCTGTCGTGGTGACACAGATTCAATTCTAAAACTTTTTTTTTTCTTACAAGAAGAAGCTCTCCTAAAAAATAGGAGCTTAGTAGCTGCAAGTCAGTCAACACAATAAGTGCTTTCATGTTGATTTTGTTAAATTGAAAATAACTGGGTTTGGCTAAACTACTGTACACTAGTGGTGCAACGGATCATCATTGATCCGTGATCCGTTCGGATCGACGTATTCGGTTCGGCACACATGTGATCCGCGGATCGATTTCTGAAAGCGGAGAAAGGAGGAGCTCGAACGCCCCGCGACACTTAAATCCCCTGTATGGGAGCATTTTGGCTTCCCTGTCAATTATGATGAAGAAGGAAAGAGGTCAGTGTACAAAACTGCGACGGAGTGTAGGCACTGTGGCATAAGAAAGCCATATGACAGTGGAAACACATCGAGCATGTTCACGCATTTGAAGCGACATCACCCGGGTGTTTTACTAACAGGTGTTGTGCCGTAGATTGCACCCCTGCCGTAGAACGCACCCCCCGCATCCCCTCCACCCGTTAGCTTCTTAAAGTGGAGATAATGATCTCATATTTGATATGAATAGCCTGAATGAAATTATTAAAGGCAAATGCTGTTGAATACATCCAACGTAAGGAAAACTTGTATTATTTCGCCTTGTTATGTACTTTCAACCGCGCTCCCGTTAGGGGGTGCACTATACGGCAGGGGTGCATTCTTTGGCATAACACCTGAGATAAAACGAAAGCTGCCCAACAACCGCTCAACACCGCAGCATTTAAGCAGCCTCTTCCTGCGCAATCCGACCAGGCTAAAGCTTTCACAAACTCTATCGGTGTGTCTATAGCTGCAGACATGAGGCCGTATTCAGTTGTGCAAAACGAGGGCTTTAAAAACATGCTGAAAGTGCTTGAGCCACGTTACGACATCCCATCGCGCACACACTTCATTTTTGGTTCATTGTTACATTTTAAAGGAAGGAGATATGCCTGTATATTGTACTTTAAGTTGTTTTTCATTAATAATTATGTTAAAAAGAAGATATTATGCCCTGTGCACTTCTTTTATATATTTTATTTGTCTTGTTTTTTTTTCTTTTTGCTGATCCGAAAAATGATCCGATCCGTGACTCTTGATCCGAGGAACGATCCGATCCGTGAGTTTTGTGATCCGTTGCACCACTACTGTACACTCTAAAATATCCAAAAAGTGGCGGTCTTACCATTTGGCAACACTGGGTGGTTGCGTAGGGCCCCGAGTTTCTGGGTGCCCCCTAAAACTCCTAATACACTTATAATTAATACAGATATTACTTATTTACGCATATAAATTATGTTTTTGATTAAAATGCATTCACTAAAATGCCAGCAGAATGCTTATCAGGTTATGTGTGTCTCGGAGCCCCCCCCTTCAGTCACGACTACATTGGATTAGTCCATTTTACTGCGCCTGTGCAGAAATGATTCCGGAAGACATACAAAAACAAACGGCGCGATTCCCGAGAGATGAGGAGAGAACAGAAGAGAAGCGAAAGACAGAAAAGAAAGAAAAGAAAAGAAAGTTATCCCAGTGGCGCTGAAAAGAGGAATAGAAGGAGGACAGCAGAAATATTTACCGAAAGTTACTGTTTTTTTAATTTTTTATTTCCCCCACCGGGGCAGCGGCTACCGCAGGTTGAAGAGGGTCCGTCGTGTGGAAATGACGAACAACTAGTGAGTAATTTTTTTTCCTATATTGAGAAGTAATCCATTAAGTTATGAATGAACCCTTTACCTACTACGGCCATGGCGCCGGTGCTGTGTTTTCTATGCCCAGAGAAGAATTTTTTTTTGCAGGATGGTAGGGGAAGGTCCCGCCCACCTTCGCCTTTCATTGGCGAGAAGTGATGGTCTTCAATTGGTTGTTCCTTATGGCTGTGAAACGTCATCGTCTGTCAGGTTAGGTTAAGGGTTAGGATTAGAAGATTCAGAAGTGCGAAAAAGTTCTGTAATGTTCTGTAATGTTCTGTTCAATGTACAGAATCGACAGCCCGCGTTTGGCTTGAGCATGTGATTTCTAGCTAATCAGAGGCGAAGGAGGCGGGACTTTCCCCTACCATCCTTGCTGTGCGGCGTATAATTACAATAATTCCTCAAAGTTTGTCTGATCAGAAAAATTTCAGCTGAGAGTTGTGGGCATGCGTACATGTATGATTTACTACGGTAGTCGTAACCTTATGAGCTAGGCATTCATTGTAAAACACAGGAAGTATCGGCAGAGCGCTACACAGATTTTCAATACAGTAACTCCTTGAAAGTTTCTCACTCTTAAAAATTCCAATGCTGACAGAAAGCCAAGAATCTGTGCTTTCTGTCAATATATTATGTATGGCACATATTGCGGTAATCTTGAACAGTACCACCAAAACTGCAAAATAGTGTATTTTTTGTAGAAATATAGTAGTAAATGGTATTAAATAGGGGAGAGTGGGGTAAGTTGAGCCACCCCCTGTTGCTTGGAAATGGTAAAAAAAATTGATCATGTGACCAAATATTTAGGAGATGGGCATCAATTCATGGAGTCTGTGAATGTTAGAAGCACATTGGTGAAGGGGTTAGACATTTATTTACAAAAAAAAAAAAAAACATTTTTCCCATTTTTAGTCTGTCTTAAGTTTTATTATAATTGTGTCCAGACCAAAAAAGATCATTTTAAATTTGTTTTATACATCAATTGTGGTATCTATGAGCTACAACATGAGGTCAAAAACCTAGCATAAAAGTCCACCATTTTAGTTTAGAGGACTAATAAAGTCATAACAGTAGTTCAACTGAGCCAGTGGCTCAACTGAAAGTAAAGGAGTCTGATGAGAGGATCAGAGTTTCAGTTCAACTTGTTGAAATGTTACTTTTTCTTTTCAAAAATACAGCTGTGAATGTTCTGAATCACTTACAGGCATTCTCATGTTAAAATGTTTTCTTTGTTGTTGTTGTTGTTGTTGCAAAACAGCTTTTTAGAAGTTATTTACAATAATAATAAAAATAATTGAATAGTGTATAGTAGATAAAAAATACACATGAATTTGAAGAAGTGACTGTTATTTAGGAAGAGAGAAGGTGAAGGAGGGCTGGGGTGGAGAGTGTGTGCGTGTGTGTGTGTGTGTGTGTGTGGGGATTGCAGGGATACGGCTCAACGTACCTAGCTGACCACTTTTTTTGGCATGATATATTATCAAGACAGATATGTTTACACTCATTCTGTTGGTTTCCAGGGATGCACAACATCTTGAAATATATGCAGATTGACTAGTTAAGACAAAAGACAAAACTATGGTTGACTTGATGTAGTGATCCGAAATATGAAAAATGGCTCATCTTACCCCACTCCCCACTATATAGTAATGTATGAAATGGCCGCTATGGTACGAAGAAGAGGAGGAGAGCTATTTGGAGGAGAGTGATTTGAATGATGCTTCTTCTGAACTGAGGTATGTTCAGAAGAAACAAATTGTGCATCACTTGCACACCTAAAAAGACTGTTTCTGATTCTAAACATGTATAGGTTGACTTTTCAAATGTGAAATCAAAAACTTCTTGAGTAATTACAAAATTTGTTCTCATTCAAGCCATGAAAAACAAATTAATTTTTGTGTTTACTTCTTTTAGACAGCTGACAATTCCATATAATGTGCAATAGTCACTAATCAGATGTTGAAAAGTGAAGTTCAAGTACTCTTAGAAAAAGGGACCAAAGCTCTCAGACTTAGGGCATTTTCTGACCATTTCACAGCTGTGATAACAAAATATCTCCAAATTTGCATTTGTAGCCCTAGTAGGTTACAAAGTATGTAACTAAGAGAAGTACTCACTCTGCATTAAATGATTCATGTCAGTGTTATAGCTTTGAATTAATATTGCTTTAATGTGCGTTTTTTGTAATTGAGATTTTTTTTATTTCCCTGGATTAAAGGGCAAATAAATAATAAAAAATACTAAAATGAAAAAAACAAACATATGCATCAGCTATCAGACAAATTGTCATTTTAAACATCAATATTGGCCAGGAATTTCACAATCGGTGCATCCCGAGAATAAAAAGATGCAGAGGGCCCCATGCCTGCCTTTACCTAGGGCTCCCAATTTCTTAAGTCCGCCCCTGTATTTAAATATATGACTTTTTCATTATATGACTGTATGGCTAAAATGTGTGAAATGCTGGGCAGATATGTGTTTTGAATTGAGACCATCTCCTCCAAATTAAGGGAAAGAAAAAAAGGAAAAATTGGATCCAAGTTGTTCACAATTCACCAACATGGTCCCACTCCACCAATGTTATTACAATGTCAACTTTATCCATCATAGCTCCTTGTTCTTCCTCAGTACCCTTGAACACCTCTAGGAGATCCTCCTAATGATAATCTCTTTGATTCATGCCTCCACCATCATGTATCTTAACATTTCAATGGAAAACAACAAAAATTATGCAAATGGTAGGCTTAAAGTCTCTGATATGCTCCTGTTACGCTCCACTTAGGCATTAAAACCTCAGTCACCAGGGAGGGGATGAAGTGATTTTGATTTAATTGTGTATTAAAGGTGTTATTTTTCTATTTAGAAAGATAAGCAGGGTTATAAGTTTATGTCTTTGTGATGTGCTGCTGTATTATTTTGTATGATCACTGCAGGTTACATCAGTATAAACCATGAGGTGTTTGAGGCACATGGTACGAGGATGGCAGCCCCGTGTGCCGTGATGCATCCTCCATGTGTGGTACGCTTGGTCACTCAGGATGAGAATGAACGTCCTTACACACGTGCACACTTGCACATACACACACAGTGGTCTGTGCATGCATTATAATGTCAGCTCATCCTCTGAAAGGCAAAGGTCTGTACCCAACAGAGCAGAGTTTTTCCTGCTGTCTGATTTCTTACAGATCTTTTACCAAAACCGTGTACCATATTAAAGTCTGTGCTTAGCATGTGCACCTTTTGTTATTTGGGTGGTCTGGTTGAAATCCTTTTTTGTTTCAATTGCTGACAGCCTTTCTGCTTAAGATGTGTCACAGCCTTTGCGCGGGGAATTTGTGCACGAAAGTACGACGTTTGAATGAGACTTGTGATTTTGATTAAATGGAGCTTTGTGCTGTGATGCAACAGCATCTTTCACATGGACAGGGTCGGCTCCTACAAATGCAAATCACGTAAAAGTACGTGTTCAGCTCGATGCCAAACTTTGATCTTTACAGGGGTTGTTTATGCATCTCCAGTATATACCCTATTAAATATTTGAAATTCAAAGCAGTTCAAAATTTTAAGTAGGATTTTAAGTAGTATTATTACTTTTACCTTGTATTATCAGTTTATACTGTGTGGTTCTGCTATCTCAAGATTATTACATAAACTTAAATGCACATGAAATCACAAACAAAATACAACCCCAGTTATAAAAAATGTTGGGATGCTGTGTAAAGCTTTAATAGAAATAAAATTTCATGGTTTGCAAATAATGTAAACTATTTTTTATCTTTAATTTTAAAACACTCCAGTTTCTCAAGTATTTGAAATGAAATGTCATTTCATTCTTGCCTTACAGGATTTAAGCTGCTTTATCTCATAATTCACAAATATTTTCAACGAATGACAAACATGGATGTATTGTTCGGCCTTAACGGTGCTTTACCAGATGCGTAGGCTCCCCCTGCCATGGGCATCCATGTGACCCCATACCACCGTGGGAGATGGTTTTTAGACTGCAAGCCAGGCGACCTCTCTCCTCTTTGAAGCAGCGGACACAGTGTGGGTGAGTTCTTAAAAAGTGTCACATTCAGATTTGTCAAACAACAAGAATCTATCTGAAATGGGCTGCAGCACAGAGAAGTCACTCAGTTCTTGGATCACGTTGCTGGTTTCCTGTCCACATCGTGCAGTTTGAACCTGTATTGGTGGGTGAGCAAACAGACTGCTCACTGCGACTTTTGGAGGGGATTTTGAGCACATGTAGTGATTCCCATTGAAAACTCATGTCCAATGCAGTGCTGTGTGAGTTTTTGTTTTTTTTCCCCCTTTTTTTAATCATTTATAATGTGTTTTGTAAGCGATGAAATCCCCAAATTCTTGTCAATTTCATGCTGAGTAACACTATTCTGAAATTGTTGAACCCTTTACTTACAATCATTTCCCACCTTTTCTTCTGAGGGACCCAACACTTTTTGGATTATACTTACAGAATCTATTAACCTGTTGAAACCCAAGTTCAAAGATGTTCCGTAATGTGTCTTTCTTTCTTTCTTTCTTTCTTTCTTTCTTTCTTTCTTGCTTGCTTGCTTGCTTTCTGTCTGGAGTAACACAGCTTTTTTAGGTAATGTTCCTGTCTCAACTGTTTTGAAATATGCCGCAGGCAGCAAGTTCATAAAGAGCATCTATGATCCAGATAACAAGAAAATTTCCACTTTCAACATTTGGTACGTTGTCTTTGCACTATTTTTCATGAATGCAGGGTTTAAATGATGTACAAAGAATAAAAAAAACTGTTATTTTCCCCAACATTTGGCATTTTACCTTTTTTAGGGTTGCATATTTATCACAATATTACCTTACAGATTTATATTATTTTGTTGAAGTTTCCTGATAGTGAAGGTAATTGCTACCCTTACGATTAAACACAGAGGCATTTTTTGTAAGACATATGTTCCCTCTTTCAGCGAGTGACCATAAAATATCAAGACAAAGTTTGGGCTGATATGATGGACTAGAGTGTTTGGAGAGTATATGACCCATGTGGCTGGTGCAAGATAAAGAAATGTGCAATGTGTCGGATAATTTGCCCATGTACATTTAACATGAACATAACGTGATGAATGTACAGAAATATGTTAAATATTCGGCACATTTGTGCAAAATGCCAGATCTAAAAATGTCACTCAGACTGTGAGAAGAAATGTCTCTGTCTCTGTTCCATAATCATCATCTTTGACACAAATGCTAATCTCTCTGCCATGTTAGCCATCTGTGGCTGAAGTGGCGGGGCAGAAATTACTGAGGAAAATGGACACAAATAAAATGCTAATTCACCATGGGCTACAAGTGGCTCCCCTCCCTGTGCTCAGCTCTGGGGGCCTCTCTGTTCCCACACCACTTCCCTGTGTCTCTCCCCGAGGGCTGCTGGGATACCGGCGGCTGCTTCTGAGCCCGCAGCAGGGATGCAGGCCTCCCATTGGCTGGTCTTTGTTTGCCTCCATGCATGGTATTCATGGGCTGATTTGAATATATGCAAATGTTGCAATGGTGCCCCGTCAAAGGAAACTCCCACCGCCGTCTCCCTTCAATTTGCCCGCTCTTTTTCCTTTTTGTCTCTCTGCTAACTGCGGCCTCCTCTGCGGTGTGGGGGAGAGCTATGGGAACCAGATCTGCTTTGTCACAGGAATTTAGTTTAAACAGGAATTTAGTCTGAAGACTGTTAATTACAGACCCAGAATTACAGTGTATCACAAAATGAGAAAGGCGGTTTACTGGTAAGACTCATCTTTGCTACCAAACCACACCAAACATGCGAGTCATTAGTAACAGATATGGAGGTACCACAGTTGTGTTCGTCTGTCCAAAGTGACCACTTAGTACGTATTGTGTGGCTATTAAATACGTAGCAGGGCCAGGTCAAAATAAGAATTTTACATGTTTTATATGCTGTTAAATTTGCAATACATTTTCTAATGTAAAACAGACATGAATCAATTTGTCTGCATCCAAATTTAGAACCTTAAGTCTCAATAGAGAAAGCCTTGTTTTGTCTTTTTACTGTAGATAAGCTACAGCTTTGACACCGCTGGGAAAGCACACATTAACGTTAACAATGTAAGCCAGTTGGCATGTGCAATACCAGAACTCCAAAAAACTGAAGCAAACAAATAAAATACAGCCATCATTCAATTGATCATTGACACTATCTTTCCTTAAAAAAATCAGAGTCAGTGCATGCCAAGAAATACAAAGCAAGGATGTTACAGCTTGAAAATACAACTCCTCCTAAAACACTGGCTTTCGAGTACCAGAAGAATAGATCTAGATCATGGATTTTCAATAGAGGATACATTGTTTTGTAAAAGAGTCCAACCTTAGTGGACTTTTTATGTCAGAGCAGCCAATGAAAATGGATCTTGTTGTGAATCTTCATTATGGACCTTCACAAAAAAATCTAGAGTTTGGGGTGATAGTGAAGCCTTGAGTGCTTTTTGTAAACTTTGCTTCTTCATCAAGCGCGAACAATCATCTTCAGGTTAACTCACGTAGCATCATTATTTTTAAACTGCATTGTCCTTTATTAGTCGGAAAAAAAACAAAAAAAAACATTTGAATTCCAAAGTTGTAACAGTATAAAATGTGAAAAGGGGTACTATATTTAACAATAAAGATAAATGGAGCCTATCTGCAAAAAGGATTTACATGTCCATGACTGTATCTGCCTCGTGTAATTACTTGATTTAGTTTGAAACAACAGAGAATTAGCAAGACCGGCTTCTGCTCTGATGTGTTAAGCTGTTACTCTGGCTTGTCCTCACACTGATTCTGGATTTGGACGACATGAATCATCGCACACTTTTACAGTGATTAGGCAAATCTACGCTTCTAATTTTATTTAACCGAGTATCTTTAGCATGGATGATCCCATGGATGATCTAGACCCCCTCGTGCACAGAGGAGTGCATGCATATGCAGAGACACACACAAGCGGTATTGAATTTACGCTGTTTTCTTTTGTCTTTATGTGTCAAAATGAAAAAATTGTACTCTACTCTCCAAATGAGGAAAATATTGGACTTCCTCCTGACATTCAGTCCCATTAAACTCAAATACTCTGTCTTTATGTCTCAGTTTCTTCTATCAGGTTCTCTGTGACTGATATAGATTTAAGTTAATGATTTTTTTTTTTTTAGCCATGTGAGTGATGTGGGCCTATATCAACAGAGAGAGAGAGATACACACACACACGTGTTATTTTGCATATGTAGTGTAGAATAAAATGTCTGTCGGATAAAACCGTCCTTTTACAGATTTGGGAAAATTTTACAAATATTTTCTACTCTTGATTTTTTTTTTTATAATAAAAATCTCAAGCACATTCTTTCTTTCTTTTTTTAGCTTTCTCACTTTTTGATCCCTATTTCAATGTGAGTGACAGAAACAAATAACCTGACCATCTCATACACTTTAGACGTGTTGTTTCTACATTTCTGAAACCACTTGTTTGAGAAGATTTGAAGTGAATTGTTATAATCAGGTAAACAGTTTAAACTATTTGTGCTCTAGTTTCTTGCAGTTGTTGATCATGTACAGTACCAAAAGTGCTTGAAATGTGAAAATGTTGGAACAAATAGAAAACTACAGGCCCAAATTTGTGTGTATGTGTGTGACAGATATGTGCTTAAGAATTTATAAATTGCCATGATCACAATTGACAATCTATTTACGGCATTCCAGGACGTTCACACTGAAGCTAAATGTAACCGGAGGCCTCCCTTTCTCCCCCCGTGAATCACTGTGTGTGTATGTGTATGTGTGTGTGTGTGTTAACGTGTTGTGAATGACAATGGTGCGCTGCGCTTGAACTTGACCGGCGGACTTTCCTGGGAAAAGAGGCGCGACTTTGGCCCTTTGCTCCTCTCCTTTATGGGCTGCAGTCTGTTCAGACTGATGTCAGCGCTCATTAGCATAAACTTCAGCCTGTTCCCAATTAAACCAGCAAAGCAGTCCGAGCTGCAGTCTGTTTGCACATGGCGGGGGACCCAACAACATCTCTCCCTCGAACCCAAGCATCAGGAGAAGCTGCTGCAATGTAAGTGTCACCCTTTTCTATCATCCCTGAACCATT